CGCCAACACCCAAAGTGACTACTGGAAGTAGATAAAGCATGTACTCCGTACGGAGTAGGTTGTATTTCAGTATTTCACCCGTCGGGTTTTTGGAACCCCGAAGTAGAAATACCCGGGACGAGTCCTCCGTGATCTTTTAGTCTGTTGCTCGATTCTTTGTTTTCTGATCGACAGAAGAATGATCCGACAGAAGAATGATCATGCAAAACCAAGTTTGAAGAAGCAGACACCCCGACATCCACGTTGGCCTGGTGTAACCCTTGCTTCCTGCAGTTAAAGTAATGCAGGCGAGCTGTCTCTCTCCGTTCACCTCCAGAACTAGCTCGAAATTTCTGCGAGAAATTTTCCTGTGCGAATAAGCCACGCCGAACTCCGGGGAGATACATTCTCATCGGAGGTCGGCTAGGTATCGAGACCGGTATGTCCGTATGTCCGATTACTCAATATCGACGCTCGGCCCCGAGTATGGAATCATGGGTACACCAATGGACACGGGGCAACTGAGGGGCTATAAGCCACAATCTAGTAGATCGCGGGTCGGGCGATAGTACAAGGGGGAGTCAACTTGAAGTCTTGATAGTCTTAGCCGCTTGGCAGGCGCCCATGGTTACGTTGGTTACGTCCGTGGATCCACGGATCCTGTCCAGCCCTTTTAGGTGCCGAGGTGAGATATTATTGATTTAGCCATTTACAAACAAAAAAATATATATTTTTGACAATATTTGGGATTCAACTGCCCCCAAATTAAAGTTGGCACACCCCGGTCTTTTGTCCATGCGGATGTTGACCACCCTGCTTAGTCTGCTTAGGCCGCAATGATCTGCCCCAGGGCTCTCAACGGCTTCAAATCCTTGAAGAATCAGCCTATAATTAATCCTTATATCGCTATGATCCCTTCCAAACTTTACAAACCCAGTGGATGCCAATCAATGAGAATCAGATCAATGAAAATGAATACAACATTCTCCGCACTCCGGACCGCCCTAAGACCGATATGGCCCCCTTCGGACCAAGCGGGATGGCGCCGAGAAGAGGAAATGATAACCCCCCCCTAAAGAAGAACGCACAACTCGAATGTGTTGCATTTGTTTCTCCGACCTCATTCCCTACGCCGTACGTTTGCACTTTGCACTTATTATCTTGACCATCCATACTCCATAGACGCGACATACTACCTAAGTAGGCCGATGGATCATATAACGGCCCCACCATCCGGATCCGAAGAATAGAGCTTAGAACGTGTGAGGTATTTTATTATTATTTTTAGCCGAGCTCGCTCTCGCTTCTCGATTTCTCTTTTGTGCAGCACAAATTGAAGGTTATCACACCGGCCTACTCCGTACTCCGGCCCCAGCCGCTAAAACCCGTCATTGGGAACTCGGGGAAAGATCATAACCGGGGGCCGACTGATATTATTTGCGACAAGGATTGTATCATTTGCATCCAATAGAAATGCAACCAGAAAAGATGGTAAATATGTTGTTCATGCAGATTTTATAAAATTCCAGTTGCAACGGCGATATGTGGTCATGGTTAATATATGCGTTTCAGCTATTCCACGCGTCAACTCACTTACACCGAATGTTCCCTCGAACTCTTTCAAAAAGTTTCTAGCCCGAACCATAAGCAAAAGTCAAAATATCCCAAAAGTTAGTTCTCACCGCAAACCAAAACTTTGTGAGCCATCCCATGTGGAAGAATGTGTTGAAACCTGCATGTGGGTGCGGTAGCGTGTCGCGTGGCCGGAGTTAGCGAATTGTTTCAGAATATCTCCCTGTTTTGTCTTGAGGCTGGGAGATGCGTGAGAAAAATCCAAAAAAGTTTTTTTTATTAATATTTACTACTTCGTATCTGGGAAAGACATGAAAACCTTCAAGCCTGATTTTTGATGCAATGTGGAGGATGACAATTACTATACACACACCGGTCCTATAGGAATTGTACCGCATGAACTGAGCTGTTCTGCACATTGCACCGTTTAATTGTGGATCGTAGCTATCCCATGTATCCTACGTCAGAGCCCGGGGAATAAGAGAAACCCGAACACAAGACTTGTTCCTTTTCTTGCCCTATAATAAGCCCAGATATAGGTGATCAGCACTGGATCATGCTCCGCACTCCGTACGGAGTAGATCGTAACTAATTCGTTCATCGCCCCCCCCCCCCCCCGGCCCCATTAACAATCCAATGACATAATCGGGGTTCAAGGTCAGATGTGTCAAGATGTCGAGAGGCGGAGGTGGAGGCAGAGGGGGGGGGGGTCAAGTGAGCGCGTTTGTGCTTGCTTTTTGTTGGCTTTTGCCCCCATGTGCCACGACGATCTTCGACTAGTTCGGGTTGGTTGCACTCAGTCAACCAATCTTGATTTTTGTACTCCGTCCTCCGTTGAAGGCGTAAAAAATGCAATATAAAATTCACTTGACCTAAAGTAACGGTTTGGCTGATATCATAATCAACTCGGAGATGCTCCATACGGAATACGGAGTTACGGAGTATCCCAAAGAAGCATAGGGAATTAGAAATCACATTGTGACGTTGGAAGATCGTATCAAGGATCAGCACGTTCCCTTAGGTTTCATCTCCACAACGGACGTAAGCACTGTATATGGATAATTTATAGGAACGAGACCAGATTGGACAATCCCCTGCCCTAGGATGTGCGATTTACGGAGTAGGTAGTAATTGATCTCAATAGCAAGATCCATGCCGATAGCCAAGCATGCGGATCCGAAAGCCCTGGGCCCGAAAACAAGCTCTCTCCACCTTCCTTCGATTTGTATCATATGGATCGACTTTCGAAATTCCAAGGTAGCTTTTAGCTTATAGTATTGTCTACTATCATACGCTACTATGCTCCGTCCTGCTTTATTCCGGTGGAGTCCCCGTTCCTCCCCCTCCCTTCGCCACACCCATGACTCGTGTATATAGATTGCTAGCCATCCATTAACAGACAACGATTGACCCACAGATTTTGGTTCCTCAAATCGGATGTAATTTCACATCCAGATGACGGCCTCCACAGTATTCCGTAATAGTACCTCGTATATCGTATACTGCTGTACAGTATGCAGCATAGCAGTGATGCCCTACAACATCCATGGTGTGTACAATTATAAATCATCTTGGGCTTTGGTTCTTGTTTATAGGGCATATTAAATGCCGCATATAACATACGTATACTCCGTACCAGCCATGGGCTCGGCAACTTCTAGCTCCGATGTGATGAGAATGTCTCCAACTTTATCAAATCTCCTCTTGTAACCATACTATAACCGTTTGGGTAGGTGGTCCCAATGTCCGTGTACTCAAGACTATATCCATGGGTGGAATCACAAGCTTATAAACACTTAACCAACACTGGCAGCTATGCCGATACTAGTGGTGCAATGCGTACATAGATGTAGTGGTTTCAACCATGGATTCTAAGTGTTGATACGCCCATCCGAGTGTATATTCTGCTATTACTATTCACCCGGGCAAATTGCAAGATATCAACAATGGAAATAGGTGGGACGAGCCTCGATCAGGGGAGGGGTAGCTCATTTATTCTTTATTAATTTACATTTAATCTCGAGGCAAAGTGTGTATAAGGTATCAAATTGGGAGTATTTACTCCGGATACTCCCGTACGCAGTACTCCACTCCGTAAGAACTTGTTGACTATGTATGTTGTAGAAATCTTGTGGATGTACCATATTATGCCTCATCATTTATAACCAGTCAATCTCCACTTATCACGAAGAACATCGGTGAAATCCGACACGAATCCAACATATGGAGTAGCAAATCCCTAAATGTTTGCCAGTGGCGTATGTCTAGAACCTGCAGCCACTATGTAACCATGTAGGATAATCTAAGTGTCCCCCTTTTTATTTCTACTTTTTCTTAATATCTGTGTTTCCCCCGTGGGATTGGTAGTTCTTTTTCTTTTTCGGCGATCAGCCGTAGAATGGGAGGGGTTGAAAATTATTGAGATTTAGGCGCTGTTGGATAATCCCCGATGGGATGGCAGAGACAGACACCACTCTACTCCATACTCTTGAAAACAAAACAAATTAAAAAAAAGAAAACATTGCATCCTGACACAATTGCATTTGCAGTGGCGCTCTTATTTGCTTTTTGCTTGACATTTCCCCTCCTGCGCTTTTAGGAAGGGCGCTTGATTTGTATTTCCTTAGCGCTCTCGTGCTCTCCATAGGTGCAGACGCACATACCAACGCAACGAAAGAAGTAAACATCTCGAAGTGGGGAAGTCCAGCTCCAGACTCTGCTATTTAATTTCCTTCTTCCCGAGGTCCCATCGAGATAATGTAATGATATGACTACATCCGCAAACCCCATTGCATCGAGCGATCCAGGAATAGATAAGTGACACAAAGGTGGAAAAAGCAGCGCATGCAAAGAGAAACAAAAAAAGGCCCCGGTGATTCATCCAATGAGCCACGCGAGTCGGAGCTAGACTCGTGTTCGTTGTATCTGGTCCAATATGGATGACTGTGGATGCGGGTGCGGGTGGCCTAGCGATTGATCATCGTTGGGCTCCGCAATTAAAGACGCCGGGGTCTGGTTGGCTCGGAAAGAATCCAGCGGCATGTTGCGTTGCATGTGCAGGCGTTGTTGATCTTCGACGTCCTGTCAAACAATATGAAAGGTGCGTACGGAGTGCATACAATGCAGTCATGGATTGGTATGGCGGCGGTGTAAGTTGGAATAAACCCGAAGAGGAAAAAGACATAATTCGAGTCTAAGATAGGTTTATACCGAGTACCTTACGAGCCGCGTAGACTGGATGGGTACTTGCTTGGCCTGCAGGGGCTTGTCGCATGGCCTTCGTCCCCGGAAGGATAGGTGCATTAGTTGCATTTGTTAAAGCCAACATGTGAACCGACGGTTTCCTCGCCCCTATGCGCTGTGCGAACGCCATTGCGGTTTCAACGGGCTCGATGCTAGTTCCAGGCCCTGCGGGGCATATCCAAATTTCGAGACATTGGAAGATTCTCCTATACCGGCGCAGCAGACGGATTGTTCATCCTGGGCCTTTCAGCCTCATGCATTGAGTTGGTCGACGCGCGTGGGCGCGACGGCAAGGACATCTTCTGTGCGGGTGGTGCAGGGGCTGCTTCGAGCTGCTTCCAGGGCTCTTCCTCGCCCTCGTCCTCATCGTCACTGGAAGACTCCTCGCCCCGGCGGCCGTGGCGTTGAGTCTCATCTCTGGACTTGCGTCTCTCGCGCAGCTGTTCCTTGTGTCGGGTATCTATTCAATTCAATTGTAAGTATTCCACTTCAAATGGGATTCCAAGATATATATAGCAGCGTGACTTACCTCTGATCTCCTGCGTCTTCACAGCATACAGCTGGATCTCCTCCTTGCTCAGAACTCTCAACACAATCACATAATCCGACCGCTCCTCGAACCGTTCATTGCCCGCTTCCAATGACTCCGGATTCACGAGCCGCCGGTCGATCTTCGTCCAGCGAGCTCCCGGCGGGATCCCCTGCTTATGAGCGTCTTTGAGGGGAGCGACCCCCTCCCTCACGGGATTGGGTTCCTCTGGGAATGCCGGGCGCGGAGGCTTGAGGATTCCTTTGGGAGGACCCTCGGGCTCCTTTGGAGCAGGCGGATCGACGGCAACAAGTCTTCTGGGGTCATCTTTGGCCATGTCAACCGGCGGCGATCGTCGCGGCTCAATTGCATGGCCATTCTCCAGCATGCGGTGGGAGCGAGAAGAGCGGTTTCCACGCGAGTGGTCTCGGTCTCGCCTGTGATGCGAGCGGTCTCGACTGCGGTCGCGGTCGCGGTCGCGGTCGCGGTCGCGGTCGCTTTCGGTGTCGGTGCTACTGTGTGTGCGACGTGCGGGCTCACGTCTGTAGTTTCGTAGGTCTTCGTCTGACGTGTCGGCGTCATCGCTGTGCGTCCGCCGCCTGGAGTGTCGCCGCGATCTACCGTGGCGACGGGCCTCGGCGGGGTCTAGGTAGGCTTGCTTGGTTCTTTCATCGGCTGGAACTGCTGCTACCAGCTCCCGCGATGGGGGCTGGACGGCATCGTGCTCATGCTCGCCGTGTGGGCGTCTGTGCTTTCGTCGCGACGGACGGTGGTGTTCGTAGTCCGACATGTCGGAGTATCCGCCTCCCAAGGCCGCTGTTCCAAGTCCCATAGTAGCAAGCGCGCCGTCATGTGGCTTGGGATGGTGGTCTTCTGGATAGTGGTGCTCCCGATCGTTCGCGTGGCGCGCTCTGTGGGCACGGCGGCGGCGACGCTCGTCGTGTCGGGAAGGGTAGTCACCATCAGATTCTTGAGGCACGGCGACCAGGGCTTGATCGTGGAATCCATCCTTCGATCTGTGCGGGTCCCGATGGTCATCCTTGCCATGCGTTGAGCTTCGCGGCCGTTCACGCCCGAGCTTGTCAAGGCCCCAGGATGTCGGGGGTGGGCCATGATGACGGTCTTTCCGCGCTGTCCACTGGGAGTTCTCTTCCACGCCAGTATTACTGAGCGGCCGATCGAGCGAGTATCTCGGTCCCCGATGGCGCGGCTTGACAGGGTAGTCTCGGTCGAATTGCTCACGGGCGTTGGTGTATGAATAGGCATCAAAGTCATCGATGTCGTCGCCTTTCCTCAGCCCGTCGTACGCTGGATAGCGTGGTGAACGAGGTGGCGGATGGACACGGTGTTGATGCGCACTGTAATCAATCCTGTGTCTGCCATCATTCCGTGGGTCAATATGGCCCGTGTCGCTTGCATAGTCGGTGCTGTGGATTCGGCGATGTGCGGGATGCCGAGGGGAAGCAGGGACTATATGATGGCCAGAATCTGTGGGAAGAGGGCTCGGGGTACGGCGATGGATTGAGTGGTGCACGGGCGAGAGATGCTGACGCGATGTGGAAGGTACAGCTAGACGCACTGGTGTCTCATAGTCCGCTGCCGTCGATGTGTTGCTTCTGTGCCTGGTGCGGGGCTGCACTGTGTATTCGGTGCGTTTTTTCGCGGATGCAGTCGGATCACGGACTCGATGGGAGGATATTTGGTGGGCTTCGAGTTTCGATGGTCGCCCTGAGCGGTACCCAAAAGCACTGGCATATCCAGTATCAGACGGGTAGTCGGCATAATCGTAGCGCCTTGGCGCATCATAAGGGTCGTAGGAAGAGTTTAGTTCTACCGTGCCGGTTGACGCTCTCATGGGATCAATCATGGAGTGTCGGCCTCGGCTGGGAGACAGATTTCGGTAGTGACTCGACATTTTGGGACGAGTAGATGCGATGGGTACAAATGATGATAACGCCTGACCGGTTGAATTCAGGTGTGACAGTCTGTTGTCCGGTCGGCTTCGGGAGATGAGTATTTAACAATCCGAGTCGGGCTATGTAGAAATGCCCAACCTGGTCGGTTGGCTCGGCGAAGATTCGGTACCAAGTCGAGGAAATTGGAGGGGCCTTGACACGAAGCCTGGAGCCCAATAGTTGCCCAACTCAACAAAGGGGATTCAGAAGTGTGTCAAAACGAAACGTGTGTGAACAATGACGCAAAAGTGGGTTGGGGTTGGACAAAAGGTTAGTAATACTGCCAAGGAATTTTCCCAGGGCTGAGTTATTCAAGTCAGAGTCAAGGAGAGTGGTGAACAACTCAGATGAAAGAGAACATTGAACACATAAACATTGAAGTAATAATAGAAATTGTATATAAATATGATTCCAGGGATCTAGAATGTGTGAACCTTTGGAACTCCCAAGTGTCAACCGTGGATGCCATGTGTTCCCGCCCTTTTAACTATGAAACTCCCTTGCTTCATATGCAAAACACTCCCCGACAGGCGGTCAAGAGGCTCTCTTTCATTTTTTTGTTTCGCCCGGGCAAATCCCGGAGACATGTGTGGGTTTAAAGGTTTGAGGATCCACTGGTGTTTGGTGTGATATCACTTGAGCCGCATTGTAAAGGGAAAAAAATTATAAGATATTTTGGTGAAATCTAGAGGGGGAAATCATGGGTATAAATCCCCTGGATTCTGCTTTTTTATACCTAACGTTTTCTCCCAACTTAATTAAGATTCAACCATAGAGGCTGTGCAATTGGGTGAATTGGCTCGATCTGTCCGTGGGAATGAGGTCATAGCTGCAATCACCCTAATATCTGTTCAGACGACTCTAAGGTGGCCTTGACTTCATTGAACATCCATTTTTAGGAAATTTGCTTATCGTTTTTGTCTTCAAGGTGGAAAGTAAGAAAAACAACAAGCTATTATTAACATATTTAAATTCATAATATCCAATTGGATTGTCTCGACAAAGTCCCAAAGAATCTCACTCAGATACTTCTTTCCAATCGGCTGGGACCGATGTAAAACGCAAGCCTAGGCTCAATAAGAGCACATGGTTCGTAGCCAGCAAAAAGTCATCACATAGAATGGTCCCCCTACGAAGTACGAACCTCATCTCACCCCTGACCACCACCTTGCCCGCACAAATATTATACACATACTGTACCACCCACAGGTGCATTTGTTCCCAGGAAGAGCGAGAAATACATGAATACTGTCTTGGCATATGTCATTCACAATGATCAAAGAAACCAACAAGAGCTACTGAACAAGGCGAACAGAGTGCACTTGGCAGGACGAATCCCCCATTCCGATTCACCCTCGCACCCGCGGGAAAGGCTTGAGCCAGACACCCCAACCGAGGCGCATACTCTACACAAGAACCCGCACGAGGCAAAGGCTCGGGCTACTACAACTAAACGCCCAACAACCCACCTGCTCTAGTACAGGATAGCCTCCACCCGGCCACCCAGTAATAGAAGCCTTACCTTCAATATGGATGGCCTGCCTCAGGTGGAAGGCGGGCAACACACCTACAACTCCCATCATAACCCGACCCCCTCTCGAACACGGTGTGTATCTAGTCACTAACGCCAGCACTAATGACTAGAGCTTCTGGGTCCCTTGTATCCCTGGGTCCCGCCGCAAAATACCATATCCCGGTGCCCGGGTCGTGGGTTGCTAGGCGCAGTGCTGGCTGAGCACGACCTGGGTCGCGGGTGAATATGACATGTCGGTATCAAAAAGACGGGTGTGCCGCCACGCCGTTTCTCTCGTTCTGGCTGGTTGATTTCGCTTTCCCTTCACCGCTGCTTAAGCACTTCCAGCTGCTGTTCGCTGTGTCTCTTTGCCCGCTGGGTATTCTACTCCCTAGGCATGGGGTTTCGACTTCGTGGTCATGGCTCTTTGGCTGTTGGAGTTGTGCCTTCACCTTGGGTTTCAACTGGGCTTCTATACCCGGGATTTCGGTGCTGGAATGGGAGCCCAGATCATGGACACCTGTGTATCGGCGCTGCGATATAAAGAGATTGTCGACCACGGCCGTTTTAAAGGTCTTCTCACAGTGCTTTATACAATCAAACTTTGAATCGGCTTGGTATAACTATATCTACAGTCCCAATTTTTCAGTCAACTCGTTTAAAAGCTTCAAGATCTGCCAAATCAAACTATATTTTCTACCAATCAGCTTATCCATTCAACGCTTCAAGTCACTATGTCTTCCTACACCATGTCCAACGCTATGTCCAACAACTTCTCGATTACCGAAACCGACAGCGAAGGACAGAATTCAACACCTCTTTTGCGTGTCTGGCACTTGACCCGGCCTAATGATTCCTCTTATGCCGATGCACTGAGCAACCCGCTGATGTATCGTGCGCAATCAACTCTGTCTCCATTCCCGGATGCCATATCCGTGCTCACGGCCACACCCGACTACCTGTCTACCGGCGCCCCAAGACTCGTGCCACAATGGTGGAGGTGCTGCGGATGCGCCAATTTGGTCAATCCCAGTCTAGCACCGGAGAAGAAATGTCCGATTTGCTCGCACTCTGAGTGCGGCAGTTGCAGCACAGAGACTGTCCCCTAGATTGGGATAGATTGTGCGGAGCTTGGTGTTATGTTTGAGTTTTGCTTACTTTTGTCTCTTTCCTTTCCTTTTTTCCTTTTTACCCTTTTCCTTTCTGTTCTTTTGTTGCTTTTTGGTCGTCATATTTCTTGTTTCTTTTTCTCTTTGATTGGTCATTCTTTGGTTTGTTGCCATGGAGCATTGTTGCATCTTAGCGTGTTGGGCGATATACTATAGACGATCGCCTCATGCTAATCCTGGATAACGTTCGGGCACAGTCCGATGATGCGCACGATCCGCCTGTCCAAATGGGAACCACAAGCATTGAGAGTGATATAAAAAGTATAGATAGGTAGTTATTTGTTTAGAATTGATAGATATCCCAGGATAATCTAGGATATATATATCCCATCTATTACATATAAAAGGTGCCGTATTATACCTGTAGACTTCATAGATGTTTTCTAAGTTTAAGATAGTAGTGATTGGATTTGTAAAGGCGATAAATGGTCGATTATGAATATCCATAGAGATTTGTTTTCTCTACACTGTCCTACCGGCAGGCAGGCCTACCTATGTGGGAGACCGGAAGATACATAAGTCAAATTTCAAGACATGCGAAGTTGCCTATGGGAAATATACTGCTAAGGTCATATAATTGGTACCGGAGGTCTCCGCTGGCATTAGCTTTATAGATCTTTGTCATATACTCTTGCAGTCTACTGGTTTTGCCTTGCTATGTTGAGATTCAAGGGGAGGGAACTCTCTTCCTCGGGTATCCCATGCTGCCTGCCTCCGTATATTGAGTTTTAAAAGCCAAGTGAATAATCAATATAATGCATGAATGATATCATTGGATTACAAACGACATATAAATATGGGTGGTAGAGAAATATTGACTAGAGGATCACCGGGTTAAACGCCCTGAACGTGTGGAATGCACCGGGAGAACATATTTTTGCCCGATCTCTTTCTTTAACTAGTTTGTCTGCCATCCAATGGCTCAAGTTTCTAGTATTAAAGGGTCAATGAGATGCCGACCTCGGGAGACCTGTACGTAATAGCGACGATATTCAGCCCTACGGTTGCCCGGCGCTTCAGCCTATCGGAATATAAACTAACACAGCCATAACAGGCCAATAGTGTATATAGTGGAGACACATTGCATTAATTAGCAAGGTATCCAAAACATGCACGAAGCACACCAAGCGCCCCGAACTAGTTATCGATCACTAGGAGATTTTTCCCGGTGGCTACGCCCCAAATGTGGGGATTGCGGAACAGTAGCCCCGTTCTCGGGCGGCGGGGCCAGTCCAGCCTCTAGGCGCAAGCGGGTCACCACGGGCCCCAGCGCAAAATGACTCTCCATGCTACTGTGGTCGGCACAAGGGCTCTTCTTAATCGGCAGCAGCCAATCGAAGACATTGTAACCCATGACCTGCTGGAGATTTTTGAATGGGCTGCCTAGGTCGAAGGGATTCTCGCCCGGCAGAGTGTGGAGGATGGCGAAGACGTGGCGTTCGCCTGTGGAGGGATTTGTTGTTTGCGGCTTGGTTGGAGACGACGGTCCTTGTAGTGGGTAAGAGACCATGCGGAATGTCGGGGCCCAGGGGGACTCGGCTGCCCAGAGTCGTTCGAGGAGGTACTCTGGGACACGGATGGCGAGGGTCCAGACGGCGGTGCGTCGGTTTAGGTTTTCGATTGTTGTGATGTTCAAAACGCCCATTTGAACTGAGCTCAGGGTCATTCCGGCGGTGAAGAAGGCGAAAAGGCCGCTCCTGGTGGCTTTTATCAGACCTGGTAAATTTCGTAGTATCCCGTGGGTGAGCACTTACAGTCCAATGCAGACATACCAGTGGGGGTTTACTCCTCCGGTCTGGTTAAAATGTTAGTGACAGGCTCACGTGAATTGGTAGGGTAGCTGGCTCGTGGAAGTCTCACCTCGCGTCGGATCTCCGCTGTGAAATAAGCAAAAACTATAAGAGTAAAGGTACAGAATATGCTAGTATAAGCAACGAATTGAATGAAGAATTTGAACGATGTCTCCGACACTACGCCTCCAACCCTGCATTCTGTCAGCTGGACACTGGGTTTGTGGTAAGGTCTTATTATCATACCAAGGACAAAAATGATCCATTTTGCGCACACAGCGACCTAACTCGCGGCAGTGGTGCGCCCTGTCTGTCTTGTACTGACAGCACGTACTGCACCACAGGGGCCGGCCGTCTGCCTGGCAGACGAAAACATCTTTTGTGTAGAAGCTCTCCAACCCAAGATCTGACTGAACTGCGGTGCCTACCGCAGTGGAGTTCGACCCTCTCTCCACATCCGCGTCTGCCTGGTCTGTCTTCTCCGGATCGGGTTTGCGTGTGCTTTTCTTCCAACAACGGCGGTTCGATTGCTTTGCGTTCTCGTCCTCTGCCACTTTTTGTTCACCGAGGGGAAGGTATCCTGTGTTCCATAGGACTTGATAATAAAGATGCAAATATGAAATGACCATGGGGATTAAAAGGACGTAATAGGTCGCGATGATCGCGGCGCCAGCGCCGACTCGGGGGCCTCGGTTATAGGAGGGTAATGGATGAATTAGATAGTCGACTTGATTTCACATCGTTAGTTTCCTGTTAAAGAAGCTCTGGACCAAATTCACGAAAAACTCACTGCATAATGGTTTCGTGACCGTGAAGGAAGCGTATATCACAGCGCCGAGTAACACAGGCGGAATGAGCCTGGATACAACGACGTTGACGCGCTTCTGCGCGGGAGACGCCATATATACGGAGTCAATACAGCAATATGAAATGCATGAATTAATGAATGCCCTCGGGGGGTTGCACGGACGGAGCGAGTCGTAGGGAAGTCGTTGAAACAAACAGTGCAAACCTGACGTAATCGGAGCTCCCTAGCCGGGGATGTTCCCAGGCGCCCGTGTCCCTGGGGTTCCAAGGTTCGTTCCCCATTCCCACGGATCGGGGCATCGGGAGAACCTTGAAACACCTATACATATCACCCTTCTCCAACGACCTCAGCTACTATGTCGACACGGGAAATGCGGGACCTACTATTACTCATTCGATAAATCTCAGCTGCGACCGTCAGATAGGGCCTAACGAGAAATGTCAGATCACCTCATGCTCTAATCTCTTTTTAGATCTTGACGGTATTACGGTTGTACTCGATAGAACTCGATAGAGTATCTAGAAAGGCACATGGCATGGAATTTCCACGGGTTCACGGGTGAGAATTCAAATTAGAAATCAGCCTTCGGGTTTCACAGCATCTCGTAATCTGTTATTTGTAAGAAGCACCAAAATAATATTCCAAACAACAATGATGAAACGGAATTTTTATTTTTCATCATCATATTCAGGTGTAAGAAACCAAAGCCTGGGTGACTTAGGCAACACTGGTCAAGGCGCGACACCTGACTCGATGACTCTTCATTTTGCTTTTCGAAGCAGCCGGTGCCTGGAAAACTAGGGAAGAGTGGAGTATATCGCACGCCTTGGAAACCAATTGATCGTGTTCATTTACCAAGGCATCAATCCCTAGCGGAATTCGAGTTTATGACGCTAGATGTAGACCGTTTGTTCGGGGCACCCGAGTCACCAGGACCCGTTGAGCGCCCATACATTCTCCCGGGTAAGCCAGCCCATTCGAGACGGTGTGAGGATTTGCTTAGCCCTGGAAAGTGGGACCGTTTTGACTCAAAACGCCTAGTCTTCAGAAATGAATCATAGATTCCTCACATTCTAGGCGCGACTATGGTGCCCTGGACAATGACAGGGCCCCGGACTACACTAAGCCACTCCCTTGGGCAACCCATCTCGGCGGGTGATGTGCAACTAAGGTCAACTTTCACCCATTGCCCCAATAACTGCCCGGGTAACAAATGGCCTTAACCCGATGTGGATCTGGCAAGGCAGCCTGGCCTGTTGACTGTTCTAGGAACGCTGCCTTGCGCTTCTGGTTCTATTACTTCTATTCTAATTTCTTCACGATATATAGCTTTCATGATCCCCCATGCTTAAATCTAATTCCATTCTCAAACTCAATCAACATCCAAGTATCAGTCCAGCCAGACCTTTCCAACTCTACAACTATAAAGACCTCGACTCTGCCTTCCATCAAACCATCCATCCTGTCTCTAATATCAATTCAATCCATCCAACCCATAACATCAATGGCGTCCTTGTGGTACTGCTGCGGCTGCAACTTCGGCCCTCACAACTCGTCTCTCTACGACGCCTGCATTCAGTGCGGACAACTCCGTTGCGCTCGCTGCGTCGACGAGAAGATCTCCGACAGCATGAGCGTTCACTCGCACTCCCACAACAGCAACCCAGTCTCCGCATACCCAACTGCCGTCCACATGCACTCACCTCGCACACCAACCTTGAAGACCACAGCCATGCCAATAATCGTACCAGAGCTCCCCGGTCTAGGGCCTCTACGACGGGCCGACTGCACAGGCATCTCGCCGGCATCACTACCTGGAACAAGGCACAACAGTGAGACTTACATGTACATCTGTTGCGCATGCGGAGATGGGCCTAAGATCTACAACCATCAGCCCCAGTGCGTGGCCTGCAACCACATGGCCTGCAGCAATTGCGATTATGTGAAGTGAGACTTTTTGAAACGCCGTCTTGCAGGTCGAGACAGGGTACTACGAATACAATGGTAAGTGACTCCGATGCTCACTCAGCATTTCGGTGGTTCATGAAGCTGACGGCTCGGCATAGTGATTCCGAACTCTACTGTTGCTTTTTTGGATGATTTTCTTTTTCCTTGTTTCTGGAATACTTCTATGCGAAGCGGGTCATGGGTCATGAGCATATATCCTGGTGTAATGCTTTTCTTTTTTTTGTTATTGTTAGACTAGAATTTTGTATACTTGCGGCTTCCTGATTTGGTTTAGCGCAATGCCGGGGCTGGAATCCCCGGGTCTGCCTTGGCCGCTTCATTTTCATTTTCTTTTTCAATCTCATTCTCATTTTGATATGTTTCTCTTTTTTTTTTGCTTAATATGGAATCAATATTATGGTTATTACAACGGAGTACTCTTTCTCTTTTAGATGCCAAGCAGTAGAGTCATCGTGATCTTCAGGGCATGCAGCAAACCCCCTGTACTACTGAGCCTCACGGGCAAGGCCTCGAGTTATCATGGTTGGTTGGAATAATTTGCGGCTCGGCCAAAAATGGACCCCGCTATGCTGAGTGATGCATGTACAACACCTGGGCAATGCAAGCCAAGATGAACTAGTCTGCTTCTCCTGTTCTTTTTACCGCTCCTTGGGCCTGGTATCTGCAGCAACAGCCCTATGGCCCATAGTGAAAGAAGCGGTCTTGGTACTCGGAAGCTAACACAAGCGATGTCCATTTTTCTTTGTTCTCCGCTTCTTTGGCCTTTCTTTTTACCTGTTTACCCTTAAGCCTTCACCTATTTACGGCTTATTTTCTTACTCTGGCATAGACTCAGCCCCCTATGGCATGTTCTATGATGTTATTCCCAGTTCCCCATATCCCGCTTCCCAACTATGTCATTGTCGTAGCCCCCACCTGGGCAGTTCCAGGACGTTGAGGCTGTGCTGGACTGTGCGCCCCAGGACAGGTTTTGCTTGGCTTTCCCCCACTATGGATGCGCTTGTCGTCCCATCCCCCTGGGACTCCCGTATATGCTGTGAATTCGCGTAGATGCAAGTTACTACCATAACCACAACTCATCCTGCCTACTAGCATTTTACTTGGCAGTTTCCTTGGTCTTTCAATTTTTGCCCGGTCGCTTATTTCACCCTCGGGCGCTGGGGCGCGGGATCTATCTCTAGCATGGCTATATGGCTACATGGACCTACGATGTACTCCATACACAATGTCAATACAAGAGGAGATACAGAACCGAGTGCGAGGAAGCCCCGGGCCAATCAGCAAGAATCTGTTAAATCCAAGACATCCAGTCCGCTGGTCTGCCTTGTCCTGACTCAACTCGTATAGATCTGTTCCTGGAATAGGAAAAATGTCATGGTTGCATTGCTTTGATTAAAAGAGTGAATATTAAAAAGATCAAACTCACCGTATACACTCTATTACTTTTACTATTATTATCTCTGAATCTCTAAATATTGAAACAGTCACACTAACCCTGGCCCCCAATCTCCCCGACCGGACTCTGCACGCTATACTTAGCATCCACCAGCCGCTCGAACCCACATATTCTTTCTTGTTCTTACTTTGTAAGGGAATAGGGTTTTCACTCGTTCTGGGTCTAGACTTGGTTTTTAGATTTGACATCTTTTCTTGCTGCATTTCTCAGCTCAGATGGTGCACGGCTGAGAATATGTATCTGACATATGTGGGTTTATGTGGGGTGTCTAGCTAAGCTCTTTGCAGATTGTCGAGAGTATATTTTTATATTTATTTTCAAGTTTGTTCTATTCTTTTGGCTATGCATGAATGAGTCAATGGTTTTAGCGTGTTTTCTAGATGAACATAGTTTATTTCGGAAGGATGGATTGACTCAGAGCTTATGCATAGTCAAGCCAATTGCGAGGTGATTGGTGCTTATTTCATTACTACTAAAGATACCAAAAGACCAACGGTTGGATAGAAAAAAAAAATACACATTGACTGATTGCTATGAATATGTTCTGCGAAAACCCGCCGAGATTCTAGTGGTACAACCGCACCATTTGGTGTGCAGATTAGCAGTAGCCAGAGCTCCCTCAGAGCCGAAACCGCCGAGACTGCCCAAGTTACGACCAGTAGCTGAGATGCAGACGCCCCAACACCGTTTTGTCGGGTCACTGGGCAATGAATGCCCCAGAGCCTAGATTCAACAAATAAAAAAGGAAAGAAAAGGTGGCTCCAAAGAGCACGAGGCCCCCAATTGCGCAGATCAAATGCAATTGGAATGTAGGGAAGAAAACGCCGAATTGGCTAATGATGCAGAGGAAAAGCCCGGTCATGAACGCGAGAGCCTTGAAAAGAGGCAGTGGCATGGGATATCGTATTGAAAGATGGATGGCGTCATGGCCATGGCGAGGGTTGTCTGAGTCCATGTGGTGTGATGATGTTTTTCCCCGCCATCGAAGGAACTTCGATGGTGGTGTTCACAAGACTGATGGAAGACAGCTCACCTGGAGAGGACTGAAAGGGTCCAATGAATGTGGGAGAATGTTACAGGGACAAGACACGCGACGGGTCTTGGAGGAAGCGCCTACGGTATGCGGCTATCTCAGAGGCCACAGTGTTGAAATCTTTCACCTTGTCACGCCGTAAGTCGTTGATGATCTCTTTCAGACCAGTGAGATATGTTTCTTTTTCTTCTTCAGTTTGACCCTCTCGGACAGAGCCCATCTGGACGAGAATCTTGTCGTCTGTCAAGGTTAACGGCTCTGTGGTCAGCATTCGAACAGGGTAAAAAAAAGAGAGGGCATATGAGTTGGAAGGAAAGGAAGCAGAGGCAGAGACGAAGGCAGTAGAGCAATAAACAGAAAGTAGAAACAGACTAGATAGTGCAATACGCCGGTGGGGGAGCTCGAGGACGAGGTGGGGTGTTGCACGTTGTTCATGTCGACGCACCGCTTAGAGTCATGTCCCGAAGATGCTGAAACTCGCAGGATCGGTCATTACAGACACCCCCGGCCAACTCATATGGACACATGTATTTCATGGAATCAATATTATGACTGTAAGTTAGCGAGCGGTAGCCACTCGGAACGTCTTCGGCATAATGCGGGTGGTAGCGATAAGCCTTGAAAGTTCGCAGTGGGCTGGTGTACGGCGTGAATCTTTGCTCCGAAATGGCAGACGATGCTTCAGTCTAGATAGGGGTTAGTATGGGGTAACCAGAAACTTCCTCTGAGAAGGGTAGTGTTCATACGCCAGGAGCGCCAACCTGCAAATCCGACCGAGGTAATGGGTCTGACACCTGAGGGGTGCTGGTTAGTTCTTCATCAGCTTGAGTCAAGTCAAATGATGGTGCCGAGACTGCGGGTTTTTTCTACGAGACCGGAAAGAGCTGGGCTGAATGGAGGAGGGCTGTAACTCGAGCCTTCAGACTGTGCATCAGCATCAGGCTCTGGGGGTTCATAACCGTCGGACTCCGCAGACTCTTCACGCTGAGACTGTTCGCTAAGGTGATGTTGAGAAACGTATTCGTCGGCAGAAGTTGCACTAGGATGGGTGATGGCAGAGGGCGAGCTGCGAGACGCAGATCGCTCTGAAGAGTCAATCTCCATGGGCTCTGAGAATGATGGCACAGTAGTAGGGTTGACATCGGCTTGCTCTGGCAAGGTAGCAGGTTCGTCCTCACTCTCACTGGACGAATCGGAACTATCACTGCTGCTGCTGTCATCAGATTCATGCATAGCTGACCCAGAAGAATCGGACTCGAATGAAGCCGATGTCTGTGCGGTGCTATCGATTACACCGTTTGCCACTTCGTCAGCATAGGCCTCCTCAAGCGGTTGTTGGGTGGCAGCGACTTCGGCTAGTGCATCTATTTGAGCAACAGGGGCAACCGGCATGAGCGTATCAGGGGCGGCCGACGTCGGTTTAGTCTTTGAAGAATCTGGGTAATGGTTAGTTGAAACGCAAGGTTCTCTCTCGAATTATACTCGAGAATGAACATGTCCCAGCAAGAGAGAGAGAGGGAAGAAATATCGAAATAACTTTACCTTCTTCAGAAGTAGCTGCGACCACACTGGATTGTCCGCCGGACGATGATGCCCCAGAGTCATCCAGGGTGCGAGGTGACTGGGTTCGGCTGGCAGCGAGCTTCGATTTCCTTCGTAGCTCCAGCTCCGCAATCTTGCGGCGCATAGCTTGAATTTCCATATCTTTAAGTCGAATGTCTCCTTGATCACTTAGACTAGAAGGGGCTTGTGGTGTAGCTGTCGAAGCCCGGGTGGCAGGAGGGTTTGATTGAATAGTAGGCTTGACGATGGTCGAGGTCACTATTGGGACTTGTTCCTGCTCTGGGCTTGAATCCAACTCCATGTTGTCGTCCTCATCATCGCCGTAGAGTGATTCATCGTCGCTGATTGCAATTATGAGTTTATCGGTAGGGTCGAACCGAGTCGCAGCAGGGTTGAAATGCTTCTTTGGAGGTGCAACTGGCTCATCGAAATCGGAAGCCCGAGGCCGCTTGCGTTGGGTTGCTCGAGACAACGGTGTTGAGTCAAGGTCGGTCACTTGTCCCGGATCAGAGGCAAGAGTTTCATGTGGCTCCTGCTCCAATCCAGCCATGAGAAGTCCCGGAAGCCCAGCAGAGCGACGAGATTCAGGTACAGGAGGTCGAAGAGGAAGCGGGTGTTGAATAGCTGGCGCCGGAGATTCTAACTGGATCGGCGGCAGATTTGCCTGGGCCAATTTCTGGGTCTTGAGCAACGTCTGTCTTTTGAGTTCTTCAATTCGCTGCCTTGCCAACTCCGTCTGGGCTTTTCTCTTCTCCTTTACGGAAGTTTCCTCTGGAACCGGAGGGGTTTCATCAACTGGTATCGTAGAGGGGGATTTCGCACTGCCAGTTGGTGAAGTCTCTTTGGATGTCGCCTTCGCAGCTTTCTCAGCTAACATCCGGGCGATAAGTTCCTTTCGCTCTAGAGGCTTGCCGGCTTTGGAAGGAGGGGCGGCGGATGGGGCAGAAGGTTGGGACACTGGCAAATCCGACTTCGTGGTGAGGTGCTTCTCCTTCGCTATCTTGGGCACCTCAGCTGGTTTGCTAGATCCTAGTCCCTTGCTAGCAACTGCAGCCGCGGCGGAGGCCTTCTCGGGAACTGGTGGACCTTGCCCAGATGATGTGGTGACCTTGATACCGACTTCTTCGTAAAGGCGTTTCAAGATCATAGGGTTGATACCCTCCGCGACCAGTTCATTGTAGCGGATATTATGGGGTGCCAAGCTAAGCAAAGCGCCCTGGGCTTGAATTCGTAGCTGTGCCACTGATTTCTGAGGTGGAGGGGCTGGGACAGTTGCAGGTGGGACCTGCCGCTGAGGCTGCATCGTATGGTGGACCATGCTCGCGTCTGCTGAGACAGACAAAGGAGGGTTGTATGCTGCATGTTATTAGTAAAATATAATCAAACATAGGGAAGCGTGGGAGTAATACGTGACCCACTACTCCTAGCGGACTGTGCGCTAGAAGATATGGTTTCTCCTTCTTCCAAGTCCAAGTAGTGGCGCGTAGGCTTACGCGTCGTCAGGTGTAGTGACCTTTCCTCCGATTCCTCACTAACTTCGCCTTCTTCACGGTGATTATCTGCCTGAACTGGGACGTCTTTGAGATGTACGGCTGGTGTTGATAGTTGGTGGGAGGCATGCCCGTTTATACCCTGATACGGCATGGGGGAATTTGAGGACCCTGTTGGCATGGGGGGGTAGCTCAACGGAGCAAACGGCATCGGAGGGAAAGGAGGTGGGAATTGTGAGGCGTCAAACTGGTTGAAGAAGGGAAACTGAGGCGGAACGAATGCTGAGTTTCCAGGACCATTTGAACCTGGGATTCGCGCATTTGCGTTGACGCTTGCCATGTTATAGTCGAAGGTCGGCCCAGGATTTGTCGCCGGTGGCTGATGGATTTGAGAGTAATCTGAGCTGACTGGGAAGTTCGGGGGAATCATCGAGGGGTATGCAGGAGGCCATTGCTGTGCATAGTTCGGATGGCCACCGTATGAGGGAGGTTGGTCAGACATGATGTTGTCGCAGAAATGAAAGAGATGTATTCTCTACGATTCTCAAAAGCGAAAGGTTGGCGTTGGAGAGAGGTTGCGATTTCAAAGACCAAATCTCATGATGTCTTGAAGGATTAAGCAGGTGGAGAGGCACTGGTAGGTCTTCGGGAAAAGGATGCGCAGAACTTCAATTTAGGAGTCGCTGTGAGGGGTGATAATGATCTGATAACGATATAGAAACAAGAAAGGGTTGTGCGACTGTGGATCTCGGCTTATAGAACGAAAAAGAGATGGATGAAGATGTTGAACTCGAGAAGAATCGAGATACGCGGTTGTCTCTAAGGTCTAAGCGCCTTCATTGACAAAAATGATCGAGTATCTCACGTGATATACGCACGGACCAACTGAGATCGGCGGGCGCCCGAGGAACGCAGAGTAAACAAACATCATGGACATTGGGGTGCGTCACTTCGAACATCTTGCCTTTTCTTCCAACTTTTCACCAACTTCACACCTCTCTTAATTGTATTTTACTTGACTTCTTTTGTCTTGCATGTTCCATTACACTCACCTCCACTACATTTACAACTAAGATTGCGGCAATAATCTCGGCCATGATAACGATTGCTGCGCTCAAATAATGTCCCATTGAACCACGATCACTATGCTTCCTTCCCAATTAAACGGCTCGCCAAAGCGTGCCAGTCTATTTGCACGTCCATCGTCTTCACAAGGAACACATTCACCACAAGCGAGGCCCAAATCTGCGATCATTACACCATCCCATGGGCTGGAGTCGGCAAGAGGTCATCTGCGCAACACATCCGTGTCACAGTTGTCGCCAACATTATCACTAAGCGGAAATCGCGAGCGATCGAACTCTGCAAAGAACAGTCCTTCCTCCGGAACATTTGCGCCAAGTTTTATCAAATCTGAGGAACTACGACGGGGAGCGGATCAGATTCGTGGACTCGAAGGAGAGAATGACTTTTCAGGGAACAAATATGTGTGGCTACGAGACCCTGAAAAGGCCTTTGTCCGCGGGCTGGTTCTGGAGGAATCTGAAGGAGGGCAGCTGTTGGTGCAGACCGACGATGGCGATGTATGGATGTAATCCCATTGAGAAGATAGAATGCGCTGACACTGGAATAGCAACGAGAGCTAGATGCGGATCAGGTCGACAAAGTCAATCCTGCCAAGTTTGACAAGGCAGATGATATGGCAGAACTCACACATCTGAACGAGGCATCTGTGGTGCATAACCTGCATACCAGATATCAGTCAGACCTAATCTATGTTCGTCATACCCGAAAGCACGCAAAAATCCGTGATTGAAACTGACTTGCTGACTGTATAGACTTATTCTGGACTTTTCCTGGTAACAATCAACCCGTACTGTCCACTACCAATCTACACCAATGAGTACATCAAAATGTACAAGGGCCGCGGGAGAGAGGAGACCAGACCTCATATTTTTGCCATGGCAGATGAGGCTTTCCGGAATCTTGTCGAGGAGGGCCAAAATCAAAGCATCCTTGTAACAGGAGAGTCTGGTGCGGGTAAAACAGAAAATACGAAGAAGGTTATCCAGTACCTCGCTGCTGTCGCCACTTCTGATACGCCTTATGGCCGGTCTGGAGCGAAGCAACTCACCGGTCTTTCGCAACAGATTCTACGAGCCAACCCTATCCTTGAAGCCTTTGGTAACGCCCAAACGGTCCGAAATCACAACTCCTCCCGGTTCGGAAAGTTTATTCGCATTGAGTTCTCGCGCTCAGGCCAAATTTCTGGAGCTTGGATCGATTGGTATCTGCTCGAGAAATCAAGAGTCGTCAAGCCTAACCCCAACGAGCGAAACTATCACGTTTTCTATCAGCTTCTCCAGGGCGCGGACCGCAAGACACGTGAGAAGCTTCTTCTAGCGGACCTTCAGATCGAGGATTTTGCCTATACGAGAGATGGAAATGACTCCATCGTCGGCGTCTCTGACCAGGAAGAATGGAACTCGTTAATCGAAGCCTTCCATGTAATGGACTTCGACGAGGAGGATCAGCTCTGTATCCTGCGGACCATCGCTGCTGTCTTGCACTTAGGAAATGTGGGAGTTGCGAAAGCGAGTGTGCGGGCAGACCAGGCAACTCTGGCGCCTGAGGGATACTCTAGCATGGAAAAGGCTTGCTACCTTCTTGGTATCGAGGCCGAAGCTTTTGTCAAGGGTCTTCTGCATCCACGCGTTAAGGCCGGCCGTGAATGGGTGGAGAAGGTACAGACGCCAGACCAGGTCCGCATGGCCCTAGATGCCCTCTCAAAGGGTATCTATGAGCGCGGATTTGGAAATCTTGTTGCTAGAATCAACGGCCAGCTTGGTCGGTCTATGGCCAGCGACGACAACTATTTCATCGGGGTCCTTGATATTGCTGGATTTGAGATTTTCGATAATAACAGTTTCGAGCAACTCTGCATCAACTACACGAACGAGAAGCTTCAGCAATTCTTCAACCATCATATGTTTGTTCTTGAGCAAGAAGAATACGCGAGGGAGCAGATTGAGTGGCAATTCATCGACTTCGGGAAGGACCTGCAGCCAACCATTGACCTCATTGAGATGACCAACCCCATTGGTATCTTCTCTTGTCTTGACGAGGATTGTGTGATGCCCAAAGCTACGGACAAATCATTCACAGAAAAGCTCCATGGCCTTTGGGACCGCAAGACTCCAAAGTACCGTGCCTCTCGTCTCAACCAGGGCTTCATTCTCACCCATTACGCCGCGGAAGTTGAGTACAACACGAGTGATTGGCTTGAGAAGAACAAGGATCCGCTCAACGACAATATCACACGCCTGTTGGCCGCCTCGAAAGCACCGCACGTAGCGCATCTGTTCTCTGACTGTGCAGACTCAGAGGAGGATGGTGGCAATCATCCCAGAAGCCGTGTCAAGAAGGGCTTGTTCCGCACAGTCGCCCAAAGACACAAGGAACAGCTATCTAGTTTGATGGCTCAGCTTCACTCGACCCACCCTCATTTCGTCCGTTGTATCCTGCCTAATCATAAGAAGCGGCCAAAGATGCTGCACGCTCCATTGGTATTAGACCAGCTGCGATGCAACGGTGTCCTGGAAGGCATCAGAATCGCTCGTACTGGATTCCCGAACCGCTTGCCATTCACAGAGTTCCGACAGCGTTATGAGGTCCTTTGCCAAAACATGCCGAAGGGGTATTTGGAGGGGCAGAGTGTTGCCCGCACTATGCTGGAAAAACTCGGCATGGATCGGGGCTGGTACCGGGTTGGTCGAACAAAAGTTTTCTTCAGAGCAGGTGTTCTGGCCGATTTAGAAGAGAAACGTGACCAACTCATCCGAACTATAATGACCAAGTTCCAGTCTGTGGCACGAGGATTTGTCCAGCGCCGCATTTCCAACAAGCGCCTCTACCGCGCGGAGGCAACCAGGATCATCCAACAGAACTTCCACGCTTACCTAGACTTGAAGGGGAGCCCATGGTGGCGTATGTTCTCAAGAATGAAGCCCCTGCTGGGCGATACGAGGAATGCGAAGGAGGTCAAAAAGCGTGACGACAAAATCCAACAACTCGAAGCCAAGATGAAACAGGATCTTGCGGATCGCAACAAGCTGGACGAAGAAAGACGTCGGACGGAGATCGAGATTCAGAAGATACAGCATACCTTGGAAAGTGAGCGTGCACTTGCATTGGACAAGGAGGAGATTTTCAAGCGACTGCAAGACAGAGAAGTGGAGCTTGCCGAGAAACTTGCCGGTGCAATCGCCGACCAGGAAGGCCTTGAAGAGCAACTGGATGAATTGGTCGATGCGAAGAGGAAGATCGACGACCAGCTGCAACTTCGGATCACCCAGCTGGAACAGGCCGGTTTGATCATTCAGCAACTCGAGTCAGAAAAGAACAGTCTGCAATCTCAAGTCAAGGAACTTGACAGCAAGCTTTCTGAAACGGAGACCCAGTTCTCTGGAAAGAACGGCCAAATTCAAGAACTGGGCCAGGAGATCAAGATGCTCCAAAGCCACCTCAGCTTGAAAGATCGTAAGCTCCAAGACCTGGAAGCCAAATTGTTGAAAACCGATCAAGATCTTGATATCAAGCTCGCAAACACTTCTAAGGAACTCGACAAATCTAAGAAACAAATTCGTGATCTTTCCGAAGAGAACAGGTCAATTCGTGATCAGATTTCCGAACTCTCGAGTACTTCTACGGGCTACGAAGATCTGCTTCGTCGAAAGGAGAGCGAGATCGCAGTTCTTCGAAATGACGTTCAGAAGCACGAGGAAGAAAAGAAAAGCGTTGAATCCGAAAAGACTTCCCTTGCGGCACGCCACGACAACATGCAATCTAGACTCCGCGAGGTACAAGCCGAAAGAGATGCCATGCGCTCTGAACAGACTCAACTTCAACGCGAAGCCGCGGACCTCAAGAATCTGCTGGAGAATAAGAGATCCGAGGACGCCGAGGCTGGAGAGAGCAGGAAGCTGCTAGAGCAACAGGTAAATGACCTCAAGAGCCAGCTCTTCCAGGCTCAGGCCGACCTCAGCCGAGAACGCCAGTCACGAGATGACGTGCAAATGCTTTCCGAACACAATCTTGCACAGTTGACTCAGAAATATGAGACGCTCAACGACTCTAAGATTACGATCGAGAAAGAGATGTACATCCAGCAAGATAGTTTGCGTCGCGCTACGGAGGCGCGAGTTGCGGCAGAAACAACAAGGAAAGAACTGCAAGGCGAATTGATTAAGCTCCGCGAGAGGTTTACGGACGCTGAAACTGCCCGCATGAATGCCGAAGCCGAGATTGAACGAAAGATTATGACTCAGGCTGAGGAGCGCATGACAAGTTCACGCAAGGACCTCGAGGAAAAGGCTCGCCAACTTGAGGAGGTTGAAACAGAACGATCACACCTCTCGGAGCGGATTCAAGAGCTCATGCATTCAATCTCTGAATCAGACAACTTCCGTCTGCGCCATGATCAGCACAAGGAGCGTCTTGAACGAGAGCTCGTGACTCTCAGAGGCAGGCTGACGGCGTCCGAAAACGATAACAGATCCCTTTTGACCAAGATTCAGCAAAAGAACCTGGACATCGCCCGATCAAACTCAAAGGCCAGTGATAGCAATCGACTCCGTTTGACCAATCTTCAAAAGGAGAAGGCCAGGCTCGACGAGGAGACCAAGAAATTGAGTCGTCAAGTGGAAGACTCGCAGGTCATGATTACGTCCTTGGAGAAGCAGAAAGAGAAGTTGTCGTTGAGCTTGGAGGATTTGAATCATGAGGTCAATCGTGAACACAAGACCAGTCGTAATGCTGAAAAAGCTGCTTCAACAGCAAATCTGCAACTAGCAGAGGCCAATCGGAAGCTCGAAACCGAACGACAACTTCGCAATCAAGCCCAAGCTAATACCCGTCAAACCCAGGGTACCCTTGATAGAGCGAACAAGGAAATCGAGGACTTACACCGCCAATTGATCCTATTGCACAAGGTGTTCGAGCCTGAGGCTACTGAGCCAAATCAATCGTGGGAGGCTGTTCAGCCACACCTCTCCAAGCAAGTTGATCTGGCCCAAGTCCTTGAAACTGTTCAGAACAAGCTTGGAGTCACTGAGGAGAAATACGCGAGAGCGGAGAGCCAACTTGCTGAAATGCGCAGACGCCATGCGGATGAAATGAAGGAGCTCGATACCAAATATTCATCCTCCAAGCGCGCTTTGCTCGAGGAGATCGACCAAAACGAAGTGACCAACAACCGTACTCCGGCTCATCTCAGAAAGAACTCAGAAAATGCTGTTAAGAGATATTCTAACCCCACTACGCCCAATCGACGCTACAATGTCTTCGAAGCACCAAATGACTCCGCGCGGTCCGACCGAACAGTGGACACACAGGGCTACCAAAGGCGGATGGATGCAGCCGCCGAGCTTGAAGAACTTCAGAATAAGCTTCAGATGACCGAGATGCAGAACAAGCACCTCCAGAGCCAGCTTGGGCGCTCGACTCCCACCGCGGATATCTGGCAGGATGAAAGCCCTTCAATTCGTCGCATGCAACTTCTCGAGCGAGAGAATGGCCGTCTGCACGACCAGCTCGACGATTCTTCCAAGAAGGTTTCATCATTGGAGCGTAGCATCCGCTCCGGAGAATTGTCCCTCCGCGACGTTCAAGCTAAATCGCACGAAGAACTTTATGACCTTATTAACTCGCAAGAGCAATCTAGGCGCTCACTCCTCAAGGTTCACAATGAGACCATGAGTGAGTTTGGTGATGCCAAGGCTCACTTCGAAAAGTTGAAGCGCGCCAGAGCTACGTTGGAGGTTGAACTTCGTGATGCCCGTTCCGAGGCGCAAGAACTGCAGGTTGGCAGAGACCAAGATGCAGTTAGCCGTAACCAGCTTCTTCAAGAATTCTCGGATCTCCAGATTCGCCTAGACGCAGAGTCGTCGAGGTCGGCTGATCTAGAGTCAAGCCTCATGTTGTACAAGAGTCGTTCCGATGAGTACTTCAACAAGCTCGAGCAGGCCGAAATTGCGGTTATGAAGGCTTCACGTGCCGAGCAGTTCGCCAAGTCCCAAGGCCAGGAGGCCGAAGAAACCTGTGCTCAGATTATGTCCGAGCGCAAGGAGATGGACGCACTTGTTGAGGACTTGCAGCGACAGGCACAGTCCCTCGAGGCTCGGATGGAGGACCAAGCTGCAGAGCTCCAAGGTGCCCTGCAGGCTAAGCAACGTCTCCAGAATGAACTTGAAGATTACCGCAACCAGCGCGCGATTGATCTTGAGGACAAGGAGACCTCCATGGAACAAACTCGACAAAAGTACCAGAGAGAATTCTCTACCCTCAACAACGAGCTCGAGATGGAACGTGAGCGTGTCCTCAACGGTCGTGGCGAGACTTCCCGTCTCCGTGAGGAGTTGGAAGACCTTCGCAGCAAATGGGACAACGAAGTTCTCAATAGCTCAACATGGGCTAAGGAGAAATCTCGCATGGATGTCGTTCTGCAGGATGTCACCAACTCTCGTGACGAAGCTGTCAACGCACACAACGAGGCTCAGAGCAAGGTTGTTTCACTTTTGTCCCAGGTGCGCACCCTCCGGACCTCCGTTGAGGACGTTCAAGCAGAGCGTGATCTGCTTCTGAAGGACAAGAAGATGCTGGAAGGTCGATTGGCCGAAGCCGGCGAGCGCCTTGAGGACCTTGCCAAGGGCGAAAGCCCATCTATGCGGAACGCTGCCAGTATGGACCGTGAGCTTCTTGAGCTCAAGTCTAGAATCGCGCAGCAGGAAGATGTTTCTGCCGCTGCGGTTGGTAAGATGCGCCGTGCAGACGCCCTGGCAACTGAAATGCAGAAGGAGGTCACTGCTGAGCGGGAGGCCAATGCCCAACTCTTCAAGGACAAGGCGGCAGTTGAGAAGCAGCTGAAGGAGGCCCAGCTCCGGTGTGTCGATCTCGAAACCAAGAGTTATTCCTCTGGTAGCCAGGATGTTCGCTTCTTGCATAAGCGAATTAAGGAGGTAAGTTAAAGGATTCCATGCTCAATTTTGTGACTTTCGCACTAACCTGGCCATTTAGCTTGAAACCCACCTCGAAGACCAGGAGAGCAAGCACAGCTCCGAGCAGCGCTCTCTTCGCAATGTTGACCGCACCGTCAAGGACCTCCAATCCCAGATTGACAGGCGGGACAAGATGAACACCCAGCTGAATGACGATGTCAACAGAGCTCGGGACAAGATTGAACGGCTCCTTCGCAACATCGAGGAGCTCCAGCATAACGACTCAGATGCCCAGCTGCTGGCCCGCCGCGCCGAGCGAGATCTCCGCGAGGAGCGTGAGAAAGCATTGCGACTGGAGCGCGAGCTGGAGGGCTGGAAGGCCCTGCGCGTTGAGCGAGGCAGTACTATTGGCCGTGGTGCCGTACCCTTCAGTGATGCCGGAAGTCGTCGCGGGAGTGCTGTCTATGGATCTAATGACATTCCCCAACGGCAACCCAGCAACACAAAGGGCTTTTTGTGAATAGGACTTAAGTTATGTTTAGCAGGCTGATCCTGCTCGGAGTTGTAACATTGATTATGGATGGATGTTTTGTGTTAATGAGGTTTATTTGCATTTGGGAAAGGGATGTTCCAGTCTTTTTCTGCTGGCCTTGGCTTGTTCATATTGTTTGAAAGGCCATGCTTTTATCCCTTGGTCTCTATTCTCCGGCGTTTCATTTTTGTTTCAGTTTTGTGTTCATGAGTAAATATGCTCCACGGGTGGACTAGGCTATCTACAATGATGATGATGTAACAACTCACCAAACCCTCCATTTGTCTCCAGTCTTCTTTCTTTTCTCTGATTTCCATCAAATCTACCATCCCAAATGCCGGATGACATTGCCTATACTCTTTAGATGACGGATTAACATAACTTGGAATTATATAATTTTTCCTTATTCTCACCTACAGCTTGGACAAGGGCCTGTAGATGATTTGGAAGCGAGTTGTTTCTTATAACACAACCTGTTGGTTGCGAATAAAACCATAGTATTAGTGAAAGGCTATGGGAAACTTTGCAAAAATTATACATAGAAAAGTCTCTTGCACAAAGTATGCTTTTTTTACCGCCTTCGTATACACCTAAGAAGACATATAAAAAGAACATCCAAAAAGCATATCGGAGGGCTCTTACAACTAACATGCCTAATACCATCTTGGTCCAAATAGTTCAGATCAATGAAGTCTTGGGTCGTCAAGGACAGAGGGCGCATAAGCGACCGACTATTCTTGTAAATTATATACTCCAAAGCGCCAACAAACTAAACATACATAGCCGTTGAATGGTTGATTGACGTTGATGATATATGGAAAAAAGGCACGTGATATCCGCGCGGCAAGCGGCAATTAGCGCGCAACCTCACTTCAAGCTGTCAAGCTCATGATTTCCTCTCCGGATTTCTTCCTTGCCAACGCCCACGATACCCGACTTCTTCGGGTCGCTGACTTGGTCAATTCTTCACAATGGTGAGACTCGCCCTTCTCAACTCAAATCCACGAGGAAATCCCTATATCCAACTCGAGTCACATTTTGCTAACCGAAGCCCGCGCTATGTAACAGGCACGCAACAGTGAAAAAGCACAGTCGATGCTGTTCCGCTTCCGAGCGCAGCAAGCAGCCGACCTCGGAATCATTGACATCTCACGAACACGACGCCCCAAGGCGATCACATCCATCGACACGGTGCCAGTATGCGAGCGCTGGCGCGGACAAGTCGTCAAAGAAATTTCGCGCAAAGTATCACGCATCCATGTGCAAAGTTTGAGCGACTACCAGATCCGCGATCTCAACGATGAGATCAACAAGCTCATGCGGGAAAAATGGGCGTGGGAAATGCAGATTCGCAACCTGGGCGGACCGAACTACATGCGTGGATCCAACCGGCTTTACGATGATGAAGGGCGCGAGATCCCCGGCGGAGGCAGAGGCTATAAATATTACGGCCGTGCCCGGGATCTACCTGGTGTCAAAGAAATGATCGAGGCTGCAATTACTCGTGCGAAAGGACCGGCGGAGGAAGAGGCTGTGTCTGGCCGTGGTGGCGATATTGCGACGAGGAAGGTCGATGCCAACTACTTCGGCTACGGTCTTGATGAAGAAGATGGCACGTTATTGGCGTTTGAGAAGCAGAAGGAGAAGGAGTCTGTTGAACACCTGCGCCATCAAGGAGAGGATGATGCTGAAGATGGCTGGCAATCTCTACCTGGTGATGCGGGAGACGGGGTGGAATGGAGACTCCCAACGCTGGATGAGGTCCAGGAAGAGCTTGTGGATAGGCGGCGCCGCCGCCTTCTGGACAAGATCTCTTGATCTAGACACTTCGTCCAGGATTCCTTGCTTCCATTTCTGTCCTTTGCTTGGGTTGGGCGTTACAGGTGCTTCTGCAAGATCTTCATATTTCAAGCATCATCCTCCGTTTGTTCGTAATGACTTCACTTGATTATTATTTCCAAAATATCCACCAATATTCCCAAGAGGCAGATTCATTATATGTACAGTATTTTACAGGCTGCTAGTTGCATCTGGTTTGTTCTTTCGAGTCGTCCTTTCTACCCTCAAGGCCTGCGTCATGCTCATGGTGCGCGGTGTATGCGTAGGGTCTTCCCGTCGTTGTTCCTCTGCTTTTAGGTCGTCCACCAAAAATCGACCCAGCTCTCCTTGCCTCCACTTCTGTATAAAAAGAAGTGCGGCCCCGTCCATCATTGGGACTCCGCCTTTTGCAAGCAGGCCAGTTTGGCGCGCGAAACTTTCTATTAACGGAACCACATCATTCGTCGGTTCCGACCAGCGTTTGTATACTGTCGGATCATTCATGTTTATATGATACAACAAGTAGTCCGCGAGAGTGATCGCTGAAATGACATTGTCCTTGACACAACCACAGAGAGCCAGCTTGAGCATATTCTCCGCGTCCGGGACATACGGCATGAACACTCCCGGCGTGTCCAGAACGTAGACATGTGACCCGTTCTCGCGGTCGATGATCTTCACCTGCGTGGCGATCTTCCGTGTGATACCGGGCTGCTGTCCGGTTTTCAAAGCCTTGGCTTTGCCCGTGCCTGAGTTGCGCAGGTTGTTGATCAGTGTTGACTTGCCAACATTGGGCATTCCGACAACTAACACTCGACAGCCTACTAACTTATCGGGGGCTTCGGCATCGGTTCGAAGGTGTTTGATGATCTGGCTGACATCTGGGCGGGAGGATGAGCTGGTGAAGAACACGGCGCTCTTTGGATCAAAACTTTGTAATTTGCGTTCTGTCTGCGGCTGTGTTAACTGATATCCAACAAAGGTCTATTATCTGGCTCCATGGTAGAGAAAAATACTTACTATTTTCTGCGCAGATGATTTGGGAATGCTTCCCAGATCTCTCTTAGTGTAGACAACTAGTCGGCGCAACTCGCCCAAAGCTTCCTCGAACATGGGGTTGATCGAGGTCACGGGGGCTCGGTAGTCACGACACTCAACAACATAGTCGATAGTTGAGAGCATGCTCTTCATCTTGGTCAGACCAGCCCTGTGATGTCCTAAGAAATAGGACCTTGGAATGGCCCCATAATGGGGGAATGCATTGCGGGGAACAAACTGGGCCATTGCAGCTCGTTGAAGGGAGAGTATTGTTCAGTCCGGTGAAATGCGATTCATCTTAATCGGAGCTGTGGACGATCGATCTTGAGGGACTGGATGATCGAAGAAATAAAATATCCGGTCCGCGGAACGCAACAAAAAAATCCGTCAAAATGTCTAGGCGGAAGGGCGGGCGGTGAATACCAGCTCGGGGTGAATCGTGTCGATATATATAATTGCAACAACGTACGTACATTCCTCACGATGGGCTAAGGATTTTCAAACCTCTTCGGATAAACAAATTAAGATTATGCCTTCATAAGGCAAATGGTCCGGCTTGATGCCTATATCATGATGCCATGAGGCTATGCCGCCATATTGTTCATCTCTTTAGGGCTTTTCTGAGCCCTAAGCTACATTCATTCTGGTTCGAGTCTTTTTTTTTTTTTTTTTTTTTGCGCGAGCATGGCTTTGCCCTCTAATTCAAGTACAAGCTCAACCGAAACCTCATGCTCAGAGGTTTCGTCAACCGTGCTCCTAACAATTTGGCGCGGGTCTGGTGTTTCCCCATACTAGTACGTTCGGTGGCCGAGCGCGAGTTCCACGGTTCTTTCTACGATGATAGCGTGATCCCAGAGATCGAATAAGCCATGGAGTTTAGCTAATTAAACAAAACAAATAACATATAGGTAACGACTGTCTTATTTGGCAACTAATGCGGACTTGTATAACGAAAATAACAAAACAAAAGAAAGGAGGCTAGTCTTTACACTCTCATTGGAGACAGAATGCAAAGGCACTAGCATTGTAGCCTGGTAGGTTATAATTAGAGCAACTGTAGGGTTACACTAGCCTTTTGCCTACCCATGAACGGCAGTTCTCAGTGGGCCGGTTGCTCGCGCCAGCCGGCACTGCCCTGACCCTGGTTTCCAGTGTACTGTTGGCCAGGAGGAACTTGCTCGCGCCAGCCGGCACTGCCCTGACCCTGGTTACCAGTGTATTGTTGGCCAGGAGGAATTTGCTCGCGCCAGCCGGCACTGCCTTGACCCTGGTTTCCAGTGTACTGTTGGCCAGGAGGAATTTGCTCGCGCCAACCGGCACTGCCCTGACCTTGGCTTCCAGTGTACTGTTGGCTAGGAGGAATTTGCTCGCGCCAGCCCGTGCTGCCCTGACCTTGGTTTCCAGTGTACTGTTGGATAGGAGGAATTTGCTCGCGCCAGCCCGTGCTGCCCTGACCCTGGTTTCCAGTGTGCTGTTGGATAGGAGGAATTTGCTCGCGCCAGCCCGTGCTGCCTTGACCCTGGCTTCCAGTGAAAGGAACCTGATCCACAGGGAAAGTGGTTCGTTGTTCATCCTGACGTCCATTGCAAACAACACCATGGGAAGTGAGTTGACATCCCTTTCCGTATGATTCAGTGGGGCAGAACTGGAAGTCCATACAAGCACCGGTGGAAATAGCACAGAACTTGCCATTGAACACCTGGCCATCAGGGCATTTGGGCTTAGTGCTCGAGACACAGTTCTGGCTGAACTTGTCATGGACAGTTCCAGGAGGACACTGGGGTGTTTTCTCAGCGCTACATTTCTTGCCGTCGAACTTGAAGCCTTGCGGGCACTGGGGGTCGGCAACGGAAACGCAGCTCTCTCCTTCTAGATAGGTTCCTTCGGGGCAAAGGGGCTTGCCACTGAAGCAGTCCTTGCCGTTGAAAGAAAGGTCTCCGCAGTCAGGTGTGGCGCCGGAGATACATTGGCCATCTTTGAGGACGTAACCAGACTCGCAATGCTCTTCAGCAACGCGAACGCACTTGCCTCCCTTCCAGAAGAAATTGATGGGGCATTGGGGAGTTTCAACGCTTTCGCAGCGCCCGTTGGCAAAGACTTGGCCAGTGGGACAGCCAGGAGCACCGTGAACACAGAGTCCATCTTGGAACTTGGTGTTGGGGGGACACTGAGGAATACCGCCTGTAAGACACAACCCATCACTGGGAACAGATCCTGAAGGACACTGCGGAACTAGCTGCGAAACACATCTCGAACCGTCATATGTGGCGCCATTCTTGCACTGAGGTTGAGTTCCAGTGATGCAATCATCTCCCTGATGAATGCCCTGCTCACAATGGCCGCGACCAGTGACGATACAACGCTTACCATCCCAATTAGCACCTTCATCACAGGTGGGCTGCACATATGTGACACACTTGCTGTCCTCCATCTTGGTGTTGGGAGGGCAGGAAGGAGGTCCTTGCAAGACACAGTCGGCACCAATCAAGAGCATATCTTTAGGACACTCTGGCTTCCTGACCAAGATGCACTTGCCGCCCTCAAGGTAGGATTCGCCCAGGCATACAGGTGGTTGTTGCCAAACACAGCGAGTGTTCTCGAACTTGTAGTTTTCGGGACAGAGTGGCTGAGGGTTGGAATACTTCTCACAGCGGTTGTTGATTGGGGTGCTGCCATCAGGGCATTTTCCATCGATTGCCTTTGTGACGCAAACGTTCCCATCCCAGACCATGGCTGAGGGACAGCAACGGGCGCTGCCCTGCGCCTTATCAATCGAAAGAGTTGTACCCGGCTGGCACTCCGGCTGGCCAACATAGACACATTTCTTGTCGTCCAATTCTGTTCCAGGAGGGCACTGTGGGTTTTCGACAATATCACAGGACTGAGTCTTGGGATTGAAAGCACCGCCGTCCTTGCACACAGGGCCACTCTCCCAAATGCATTGTTTGTTCTGAAGAATTGTATTCGGAGGGCAGCTGGGAACTTGTTCTGAAACGCACCTAGAGCTAGCGTTGTCAAACGAGACTCCATTGGGGCAGATGGGAGGTTTGTTGTCAACACAAAGGCCATTTTCAAGCTTAGCTCCATCCGGGCATTTTGGACCTTCCAGAGACGCGCAAGACTTCCCATTGAAATGCTCGCCATTGGGGCAAACGGGGGGTCTTTGGGAAACACAGACGTTGCCTTGCAAAATGTATCCAGCCTCGCAGTTTGCAGCCCCTTCGAGGACACAGTGGGTGCCCTTCAAAATGGTACCGGAAGGACAGGTAGGGGGGCTGATAGTGATGCACAACCCGTTCTTGTACTCATATCCGGTATCGCAGGTGGGCTTCGTAAGGTAGACACACTTGTCCCCATCGCGGGTGCTGCCATCGGGGCAGATGGGAACGCCGAGGACACATCCCTGACCGTCGAACTCGGTGCCGGCAGGGCAGCACTTGACGTGTCCAGAGGCCTGATCACGGGTGGGCACTATGTCATCGAGGGTGTACTTTCGAAGGGCGGTCTGGCCGGGAGGACTGTTTTGAGCCTGAGCGAAAGAAATGGCCAGGAGCAAAGCGAGAGCCCTTGGTATCTTTGCCATAATGGGATAATGGCCAAGGAACTTCGGCTGAGATGATTCTGTTCGGTTCCAAAGCTGGGTACCACGGAGTGTACTTATAGCCACACCTTTGGCTTGTATCATGCTCAGACTCTCTCATATACACTATGTAATGGCAGGAGTGGCCGGCTCTGTTTCCTTGACCGTGTCTTGTGATGTCCACTACATCAGCTCTCCCCCGGGCCATCCTTCAAACGCAGGAGTAGGGGCAAAAGATCAACAGTGCGAAGGCAAAGAAGTGACCTGTGGCTGCATCAAGCGCGGGATGAAGTTCGTAAAGGGATAAGAAAAAAGAAAAGAAAAACAAGATCTCAGCCAGCCTCTAGATGTTGATATTTCCAAGTGGCACAACATGAAGATCTGTTGCCAAAATTGAAGTGCCGCTCGATCTTCTCAGGTAATAAAAATTATGTATTTGCATTCTGACCAGCATATCCTCGGTGGATCTCGGTCGAGATCTGCGTAATGTTGCTTTTTCTTTGTATGCATAACAGATGGCGGAGCTGGAGCTATAGTATTTGTGAGCCTGGATGGACACATAATTGGTAATGATTTTGAAAATAAAGAAAAGGCAACAGAAATAGTAAGATAAAAACTCTCTAGTTAACTATGGGGCATTTCATACAATGTCGGGGATTCTTCAGCATTGTTCATCGGGTACGGTGGGCGGGCCGGTGCGAAAAGTTTATCTAACCCCAGCTAGCGTCCACGGGTCCCCACGGGGATCTTCTGCAGAACCCATATCCCCTGAGTGTTAGAATTTTCAGCTGTCCAGATCAACTCATGCACAGGAGCGCTCCATACAAGTGCCGCGCACAGCTCCACCTGTAACCCTTGCTTTTGGGGTACACCCTGTGCAGAACGTGATTGCTGATTGGACTAAACATAGAAAACTGCACAATAATAGAGCACAAATAATGAACTGTGACCGAACCACCCCCGCAATATTTTCGACGTGTCTAGGAAGGGAAGATCGGTCAGTACATTTGTGTGGGCCTACGTCACGCCGCTCACTATTTGTGTAACATAGATCTTACCAAGAACAATAAGACATATGCAATATGCAATATGCAAGTACGCTGCTTCACCTGCTCATGAATATGATGCATGTTTGGACCATCAGCGAGCCCGGTATATTCGAACACTATCAATAACATCAGAAAGGCTAAACGAGTTTCTCTGAATAGGTTGTGGCTTTATCCATGCTTTGGGTAGCCAACATCTACATGGCCTTTAATAAATTGCATGAAAGGTGTGACACTTCCGCAGAGCTGGGTGTAGAACTCTATCTAGTGGAAATTAAGTGACAGATCTCCTTGAAGATCCAACGAGAGCCAGAACCAAGGATGGTGGGTCAAAACAATCGTCACAGAGCAAGTCTTGGACTCCCATTACAACAAGCTGTCCTCAGTGACCCAGACACGCGTCCGGGATGCAATTTACGAGGTGGAGCTGAAGATCTTGTAATTCGCAGTACACCCCATCTTACTGATCATCGGATCTTCTATTTGCAGGTAGCGAACGCACAGGTAGATGACTGCTGTGTTACATCCAGGCCAACAGTTTCATCCTTGTGGAAACTATCTGGCGGTGGCTGGCTCAGCTGTGCAGCTGCAAATGCACTATTTGCAAGAGTGGCAAGAAAATGCCTCAATTGGAATCTGTTGATCGCTTTGAGAAGATTACGCACGAAGAATTGAGGCATCCGGATCAAGTGAGAATCTTATAAATACCTCGTCCTTGACCCAGCATAGATAAATTCTCACACTCATCATCTCATCTCATCATCTCATCTCAAAACAACTCTTCCAAGCCTCTCAAGTTCTTCCACAAAAGTCCAACCCGTATGTCTCCCAATGGCAATTTCACTTGACTTGTTACTCACTCATTCCGAATAGAACCGTCAAAATGAAGTTCTCCCTCGCTACCATTGCCGTTCTCGCCACTGCTGTCACCGCTCAGCAGGGATACCAGCAGCCCCAGTACCAGGGCCAGGGTTACCAGCAGGCTCAGCAGTACCAGCCCCAGCCCCAGTACCAGGGCCAGGGTTACCAACAGCCTCAGCAGTACCAGGCCCAGCAGAACAAGTACTCCCCGGCTGAGGCTCAGGCATTCCACACTTGCATCGATCAAATGCTTGACCAGTTCAACCTCCAAAATTCTGGTAGCTCGGTCTCTTGCTCTACCTTCAAGTGCCTCGACCAGACCGCCAACCAATACAGCCGAGGTGGTGTTCTCGCTGGTCTTGGAAACGTTGTCAGCTTGGCCTGCGGATTTGGTGGAATCATTCCTGTAGGAAACACTTCCCCCGCGCGCTGGATACATCTTGGGCTTAACAAAAACTAACTTCCACTCAGAAATTCCTCTAAATGCTCCACCGAGTGGACACCTTTTGGGTCTTCCTTCAACAGACTCGAGTCCAGTCGCCCATCTCCCACGCCTGGTCTCCCGGCGCAGATGGATTATCTGGCTAATGTGCTATTGACTATGTTGGCAGCCTCGGCTCAGGTTTTTGTCAGATGATCTCTGGTCTGTTTTCCCTGTGCCTCCTTGTAAATGCAGGGGCTTTGTTTAAGGGTTATGAAAACTACATAAAATCCTATACATATCATATTATATATTACCCAAGCATTATCTGTTACACATTATTCCCTAGTAGTACATCCCATACATCCCATACTCCTATACATCCTGCCCCATTACAGCACTGTTTCCATACCATTTCCAATCATAGGCGCCAGCAAGTAGAAACCGTGGTTTGATATCAAGCATCCCAGTAGAATGGTCTCGGAACCTCAACCTCGCACTTTATGGACCTTGAGCAGGTGGTTCTTCCTATTAGCCTTTCGGCTGAAGGACTTGCCACATATTGTGCAGGGGAATGAACGCGGGAGACCGTGTTGTTCATTAATATGGCGCTTTAGTGATCCCTTGACCGTGAACGTGCCAGTGTATGTGCAGGCCGGCCAGTCACATCGGATAATGGTGTCTGGACTACTAAGATAGTTGAATATTGTTAGTAAACTAGTGACTATCTTTCTTCGTAGGAGACTGGGGGGTTGATAGCTCACTCTTGTTCACCTCCCTGATGATGAACATGGGGATTTTCGTAGTTGTTGACGCCATTGTCCATGACTCCTGGCTGAGGAAGCTCCTGCCAATGTGGTTCCCGTATAAAAGGAGCCACAAGAGGAGTGGTGTTCGTGATATGGTTTGCGGGGCGGAGAGAAGCTGTGGCTACAACCTGGGCGTCGCCGTCGTTGTTGCTGTTGTTGACAATGGAATACTGTGTATCGTTCCTGTTCAAATAATTCGGCTGGAGATACACCCGCGGGAAAGCCCGCGTGGAGGCATCACCAAGACGAGCAAGCGCTGGTTGGGGATAACTGGAACCCGAACTAGACTTTTCCTGCTGGGCGAGTAATTCCAATATATCCGAGTTCATATTATGTGATGACCACGGCATGTTCAACTATCAATAGAAGGATAGATGCAAATAAGCACGGAGGAAACAAAGGAATCTCCGCCAGATTTCTGCAACATCATGCTAGGGAAGAGGAATACCTGGGTATTTATTGAAGTCGAAGTGGAAAATTCAGAATTTCACCCAAATATGAACAGAGAAAAAAGCGAAATAAACAGATCGGCATGCGGCACTTGGAAACATCGGAAGAGGTGTCCATGGGTGGCTGGTCAATCAGGTTACCGGGGGAAATGGACTCCTTGGACAGCACGAATCATCGGGAGTTGCAAGTGTGCGGCTCCGTCACTATGGACACTATGGACACTATCGACATGGATAGGGACAGATCGAGACTGGATTTCTCTTTTTTCTTTCTTTTTCTTTCCTTTTACCATTTTTTTGGTTTATTTTTCTACTCTTTATTTATTTAAAAAAATTTCGTAAAGAGTCGCTCAGAAGGTTTGGGATGGCTGTTGGGGGCGTAGAAGGTGAATGTGGGAATCCTCGTCTTCGTCTGGGCTAGGCCGATGATGTATGGCAATCTGAAAAGGGAAATTGTGGACAAGCGCAACCCCTTTATACTGCATACTCCGTATAGGACAACGAGTTAGGGATATGGAAAGCCTACAGACAGATTACTAAAGCATAGAAAGGCGGACTATGTACTCACGTACTCCGAAGTTAGCGGCTAGAGACTAGACTCCACATCTGGTTGATAGCCCTCTGCAACTACTACCTATTCTGTCCAAAGGTATCACCATAATCTTCCGTGCATAAGTGGCGTAAACAGACAAAACCCGAGGCAGGAATGGCAGCAATGGCAGGAACGGAAATATATTCCCTTGATTTTGATTTTGAATTTTTTTATATATATATAATATATATATATATATATATTTTTGTTTCCCTTTTTTATCCCCATTTCTGATTGTTCCTGCTTTTTTCTTACATATTTGGACATAATCAGCGAAGGCTGTTAGAAAGACTATCCTTAACGGGTAAAGATGAGGGGAAGAAAATCAAAGGCATTATTCCTGGGAGAATATGTACTTAATAAAGACCAATAGTTTAACCTTCGATTTAAATCCGGACGGTTTAGCGCGACCTCGGGGGATTCGCCCGGGGGATTTCAGCCGCTAATGGTCCACAAAAAAAAATCAAGCGGTGTGAAAAAAGAGTGTTTCAGGTATTAAAACACTGGACATGCCCGTGGATGACATGTATAAATTGTGACGCAGGTACCGTTAACACGTTGGTTGGGATTGGGGCCAATAGCACCTAGGGGGTTCTCGACTCTATACCAACCCTACGCGTACATGCTGGGTGAAAAAGGTGGGCGAAGAACCCACCAGACAATTTCCACATTTCTACACATGTAGGATACATACTTCCAAGAGTTGTGTCTGTATTAAATACAGTATATAATCATCAATGCTTGCTTTTTCACACTAAACTGTGAGTTACCCATGAAAGTCCCGAACGCCCTAGCCGGGGGTCCCAAAGTTTTCAATCGAACTGCTTTACCACTGAAATAACTGTAATGCATTTGAGATTGCCGAGGTTTTGTCCTATCGGATCCATTTAGAAATTTAACCTGACGCATTGGGATTCTAAGTGATTGCGAACGCCGCATGTTATTTTCAAGCGAATTAAAAGTCGGGGATCTACTCCGTAACTGCTCCCATCTGTGGACTCGGACCTCTTCTCCATTCGTTGTCTCCACAACTGACTGGCCCCCAAGTGTGCTCCGTTCTCTCAGTCAACATATTCTCTGTTTTCCTTTCTTTTTTTTCCACCGTGTCACCCGATGCACTGCTTACCAATCCCAGAGCGGGTGTTTTCCACGCCTAGAGTGATGAAGCTAGGTATCTTTTGTATTGGATTCTGTATAAAAGATACTTCTAGTAGATCTAGGAGGTCTAATCTAGGAAGTTCAGGACCCATCCAACCTCGTACTTGATTCCACTCGCCTAAATTACTATCAAGTAATTCTTGCAGATGAGGCACCGTGCCCTCGTGGGCCTTTCGCCTCCCTAACCCTGGAAAAGCATACCCCTTTTACTGGCATTTTAATGACCTCTTACCGACCTCTCACTGTCCTCTCAATGGTACCAAGATACGCTTATGCCGTGCATTTCGACTCCACTTGCCACCGGGTACAGTTTTATCAAACATACCCGCGCCACCGCGCGTATCTATCTCTAAACAAGATCAGGTGTCTCACAAACCCCAATTATGTGATAAGGCATAACCTGTTTCAAGGCAGGTTCTTCAACGTGGCGTTTATTACCCATGTATCAAACTGTCTCATAAAAAGCATTAGGTGATAGTAGGTGCGCTAGCGAGCAAGCTGGTATCGTTTCCAAGCTCGTTTCCGAGATGTTTCCCCCCTACATCAGTCCAAGGCCCCAGCATCTGTCTCGCCAGCAGATGGCCTATTCATTGCTTTCCCGGAGATTATTGCGAGTATATTCCTACAGGGATTCTCACCCCCCGATCCCCCGACGAATACATCCGGCACTTTGATCGATATATCAACCTAAGGCGATTCCTGAGTCCCGCTGAATCTGATAGCCTTCGAGAACTGTTTCCAGAGGCTGTAGGTGTTGAGGTACTCACTGCAGGTTTTCTGGTCGTTCTTTTTGAAAATGTGCAACACATGCAGCATGCGTACAGCGAGGTCTGGCCGTTGGAATTCGCCCTTTCGATACTACCCGCTATATTCGTACGGCAGCACCCATTGAATCCGGCCTAGGCGTGAGGGCTGACCCAAGCAGGGAACACCATGCTCGTGCAGGGTTCCTCCGACTGAAGCTCCAGCTGGAGAAATATCTTGATAGAAACACAAGATTGGGTGGATCCGGTCCCAACTGGGGCTGTTAAGGCTTGTTCGAGCCTCGAGCCCATGGTGCCTTTGCTTCCTCCGGATATCTCTCACCATCCGTGGATCTCGGAGTAGCTTAGCTTAGTCCAAAGGATTGCTCCGCTTTTGTTTTGTCAATACATTTAAACGGCATGAAGTACCTACACAACATTAAGGGTTAGGCACCTTGTCACAAACTATTGCTCTCAATGGTTCTAACAACCCCCTGTGACAATCTTGTGGGTTAGTGACATTGTCGTATCATTTTAAGCAGAAGATTAGAACCCTCAGCTCATATCATGGGAGAGGTGGTCGCCCTCGGTCAATTCATATGTACCAAGTAGTTAGGCGATCCTAAAGTTCCAGTGAATGAGTTTTATGGATAGAATGGTATAATCTGACCATTTACAAGTGTCTTCGATATCGTTCACTATAGCAAATATCAATATTTCATCCAGCTGTATACATTCTCCCATATATCTCATGCATCCCATAATCCCATAATCCCATGAATCCAAAAATCTAAATATCCCGTGCTCCTGTCGATAGAAACAATAATTCCTAGCCTTATCGCCGCACCGATTCCGTAAACAAACCCAATTATAGCGCCAGCTGATACAACCCCATAGACAGACCTCAATGCTCCAAATTACAAATCCCAATGCCATATTCATTAAACTCAAGCTCGTATCCCGTGAGTCTTCAACTGGTGGTAGGTCAGATGAGAGTTTCGGGAATAGGGCTTGCCACATATTGGGCAAGGGAAAGACTGCGGGGAAGTATGCTGCTCATCACGATGGCGCTTCAGTGATCCCTTAACTGTGAACGTGCCAGTGTATGTACAGCCCGGCCAATCACATCGAAGAATGGTGTCTGGGTTACTAAAATGGTTGAATATTATCAGTAAGCCGGTGACTCTATTTTCTCATTGGAGACTGGGGTGGATGGCTCACACTTGTTCAAGTCCGTGGTTAGGACTGTGGGCCATCCCACCATTGGTGAAGCCATTGCTTACAGCACCTAGAGCAGTGACTCCTGGGTAGGAAGGCTGCTGCCAGGGTGGTGGCTGCCCAGGCGAGGAAGCCACGATAGAGGTGGTACGTGTGGTGTGATCCATGAAGCCGTCAAAGGCTGCAGCTAGGGCCTGAGGATTATTGCTGTTGGCAGCAAAATACTGCGCGGTGTTCTGGTTTTGTCGGGGATACGTCAAGGGAGAAGCCACGAGAGGGGTGGTATGTGTGGTGTGATCCATGAAGCCGTCAAAAGCTGTATCTAGGGCCCGAGAGTTATTGTTGTTGGCAGCAAAATACTGTGTGGTATTCTGATTCGGCCGTCGCTGGGTCGAGGGAGATGCCGCGGTGAAATGTTCACCAACCGGCGCGAATGATTCGTACGGATCGTATCCATGTTGAGCTGCAGGAGACATAGATGTCTCTGCAACAGCGGCAGGCTGACGACCAAGCGGCGATTGGGAATAAATGGAATCAGAAGAAACCCAATCCAGCTCGAGGAAAAGGTCGGGGCTCAAATCATCCAGGTTGATGTCGTTCGGCAAACGCGCCATGATCAACTTTCGATGGCAGGATAGACAGAAGAAAAGATGGGCAAGCAGAAGGATCTTGATTGAAGGAGTGTCGATTGGGTCTAAGTTTCTTCATCGTGAGAAAGAGAGGGGGAGCATTTATAAATCGTCAATGAACATAGGAAAGCGCGAAGGTGACAGGGTAAATATGCACCGTGCGGTCACGGGTGTATAGGTATGCCCACGGGTATATCACCAAGGTGGCTGTAACAGACGTAGACTGCGACACCCTCATAATGCAACGGGTCAATTATGTTGGCGAGATCTGAACAAAGCACACAAAAAAACAAAAAAACAAAAAACAAGATCTCTCTTGTCAGAGTAGCGCTCGGATCGCTCTCCGGTAACCAAACCCTCGGGTGCACTAGTGGAGTGCGGAAGACAACCTTAGAAATAAATAAAATTGAAATAAAATTGAAATAATAATACCTAGGTATCGAAGCCAAACCTCTGGAGGTCTCTGTACCGGCAATGAGCTGCCGAGTTGGCCTCCACACGTAAGGTAATACACATCCCCCTCCCCCCCAATAGGACCGATCCTCTCTCTCTCCTTTTCTTCTCTTCATCCCACACAGCCTCGTACCCTGAACCCTGAACCGCCTAAGAGCGAAAATGAAGATGGAGTGGATGTTGGCCTACTCCATACGGAGTATACTCCTCATCCATGGATGTACCCTGTTAAACAAAAGCTCCAGTTCTACTTTATTTCACGTCATTGTTTATTTATTTAATTAATTGTGTGCTTGGGCTCCATCACGTGTCCAACGAAGCCCATTACCTGGGCCATTACTTGGGTTAAGAACATTAATGAATTTAAGATATGAATTGTAATCTATAATTTGTTGATCCTTGTGATTTCTTCCGGTTACGTGCTGGTTCAATAGGTTCACTTAAAAGCAAAAAAATCAAACTATAGGACTGAATATGTATGTACAGTAGAGATGAGGGAGAACTTTTGCGTCCTCCCGGATCCAGGCACGGTAGACCCGCGGGACTTTAAAGTAACCCCGAAAAAGAAAGTACCAGGATCTGCATTGTTGAAAGGGGTTTTCGTGGCTTCATTGTGGCGAATGTGTGGCTGACGTACAACGCATTTATCACCCGCGCTAATTCCCTACAAGGATTTGAGTTGAGATGTGTTCTGTGTATTCTGTGTCTAATATTAACCCTTATAACTCCCTGCTCTTGGCAAATCACATCACTAGATATACCCGCATAGCATACTTCAAAGCACTTGCCTTGGGTACTACCGGCATTACCGCCGATCATACTTTACTGATGCGTGTTCACTCTCCCAACTTGAAACTCGTCCTATATCCTCTGAACACGCTCCTTGGCAAATCCTTTTTTTTAAAAATAGAAAAAGCAGCGGTCTTCTACAGGTGTTATGGCCTAGACAGAGCCTTTTACCAACATGCCAAGTACATAGACGGTGTTAAGAAGGGGTGGAAGGTGGAAGGGTTTCATATCTTGACTGTCACTACTCAGTTTGCTGTGGAGCTGAGACCGCGGTCGAGACTACAGAATCGGGTGGGGTTGTGTTGGCCTGCACCTGCATCTCTACGCACCTGGGCATATAGGCTGGGTGAGAAACCCACTCGGGAATTTCCACATTTCCAGGACCTAAAGATCGGTGTGTGTACAGTACAGTATGTATAATTAGTAGTTTCACCCACCTGGGCAATCTCGTTCGATCTCGATGGCTTTTCATCACGTCAATCCTGTTCTACTCCATACCCACAACGGCGGATCTACCAACCTAGAAAGCCCCAAAACGCTAAAAACAATAAATCATTAAACCAAACAAATTGCAACACATTCAAATCCCCGTGACGTGATCCGATCTAGTCCACAAGATCTAGCCCGTACGGAGTCTGGGTGTGCTTTTTGGCGTTCTTTTGTTTTCACCCTTGACCACTCTCATCGCTTCTCCCCCTCTTTCTCGCCCTTCTTCTTTTCTCCTCCTATTACTCCGTACTCTCCAACGCCACTCAACGTGTCTCCCATTTTTTGTTCCGACTCAATGTGACTAGTTTTCCACCTGCTTTTTTTTTTCCTTTACCCGATTCTCAAGGTTTCGTTCTGCCGGGTGTCCCGACGGCATCACTCCCAAAGTCCGTCGCCCATCAAGACCCTGTCCACCCCAGTAATTATACAGGTATCTTTTGTATCGGATTCTTATACAAAAAATACAGCCAATATTTCCAGAGAATCATCCGACCATGTCTTCTCCACTCGCCCATGAATAAGTAGCCCTGACACATCGAACACTATCCGTAAATATTCGTTGACGTTACTAGGTCCCTCATTTCTTGTTAGCTATGTATTTGTGGAATAGGGCTTTTAGGGGAGACATCAATATGTCAGGTGACAATGTAGGAAATGCGGTACAACGCGTTGGGCAAGACAGTCAAATAAGTCCAATTTCTTCAATTCTTAGGTCAAGCATAGAAAAAGTGAGGCGGGTGGGGGTGTTACCAATCTTCCTCTCTTAATAGGCATGGTTGAGGAAACGACTTGGCGCCAGGGGCTGGGCTATGGAATCCTTTAAGAAGCTGTTCGAAGGTTTCGCAGTTGCATTAGTTGGACAAAGTATGTCGGAGAAAACGTTGTGAAAGAAATAATAGAAATAAAAAGGCAACCAGTAGTAGTTTGTACGGTAAATACAATAACAGCTAATACTCCGACTCGGTACTAGTAGAATGATAGGCGCAAGATGATCGGCATGATCCCCCCCGGGCCCAGCCGGAAGTCTTAAATGGAGTTGGGGATCATCGGTGTCTTCTAGTGTTTCAACCTTGGGGTAGACCTTTATTTTTATTTTTATTTTTTAATGGAATGGCCCACCTAAATATAGTTATTTACATTACTTTGTAAGGTCTCGTATTAACTCGTCCGAGGCTAAACCTCTTTGGCCTTAGCCCGATGAAGATGGGTAGCCGGAGACCAAGGAAAGTGACCACGGGGAACTATAAACGTATTGAGATCATAAGTACCAGCGAACGCATTATACCAGGCCGAACATGAAGCTAAAAGGCTAAGAATCCCGGATGCCTTCTGGAATACAATCAGTACGCCGAAAGAATCTCCCCCAGGAAGTCATCGCTCGATTCAAGGAAGTATGGAAACGCTCTAGGTTCGTTCTTCGTCTAATAAATTTGGAACTAATTAAAGTGTATTGAGCTATAGTGCCTTTACTACAACACGCAGTGCGGGAAGCTGAATCGGGCTATTTCGGTCCTAGATATCGGCCGCATTCTTTTGGGTCGACCTTTGAACGATTATGAAACCAGATATTTAGGCGCACTGGGATGGTTAGCAGAGCTACTTCAGGCTTTCTTCCTGGTCTACGATGATATGATCTGTTCAATTACACGGCGAGGGCAAAAGTGCTGGTATCGGCAGCCACATGTAGGTCTAATGGATATCAACGACGCCGTTTTACTGGAATCTTTTGTGTTATCAGTTCTCAAGTCACAATTTAGGGATCACCCTGCCTATCTGGACATTATCGAGACGTTCCATGAAGCTACTTTCAACACATAGCTAGGCCAGCTATGTGACCTTATCATAGCCCCTGAGGATAAAGTCGATCTAGAAAGGTTCTCTATGGAGAAGTACGCTATTATTGTCCAGTTCAAGACTGCGTATTATAGTTTCTACTTTCCTGTTGTTCTCGCTTTGCACTGGCTTCAGCTGGCAACACCTGACAATTTGCGTCAGGCTCATGATATCTCGATACCAATGGGCGAGGACTTCCAAGTACAAGATGATTTTCTGCACCTATTTGGAGATCCGACTGTCACCAGCAAAATTGGCACCGATATCCAAGATAACAAGCGGTTATTACTTTGAGTTCGAGAGTTTTAAGTATCATTTTTGGATATAAACTTCCTATATAGAGTAACTGGATCAAGCGCAGTCAAAATTCAGAAGACTTCACTTCGTAACTCGTGATAACCATATCCACGACAGACACCCGTACCATGAAGAGAGAAACTGCATGTTATTCTTTTGCCATTCTTAGTCTGAGGTCAGACCTCTTTAGCCTTAGCCCGATGAGGATGGGCAGCCGGGGACCAAGGAAAGTGACCAAGGGGAACAGTGAAGAAACTATTGCTAGTATTACAAATACCAGCGAAGGCATTATACCAAGCCGAAAACGCAGCTAAAAGGCCAAAAACACCGCCTGCCTTCTGAACTGTAATGATAATCTCGCCATAAGAGCTGCATTGAATGTGTGCAATGCCGAGTAGGAGGTAGTTCATGTCTAGGAAAAAGAACAGAGAGAACATCGCAAGACTAGATCTGAGCGTGCATAATAGCATCAGTGTAGTGAAAATGAACCATGCCTGCATATATAGATAGCTATCAACATATATTCCCACAATGCACTAATGCCTGAATTTGATAGAAATGGCTTACCAGCATGAACAGGCCCATCAAGGTCTCGTTATGACAGACTGGATCTACTATATCCTTCGTAGCATCGGCAGTATCGAAAGTTGAGATCAGAGAAAAAGTGATCCAATAAGCGCCGTATGAACAGAAGGAAGTCGCGCCAAAAGTATTTCCGATTGCCATTTCCCTGCTCTCATTAGCCCTAGATAACACAGTTTCAAGGGAATCTCTAATACCCAGGATGGATAGAACATACCACATTCCAGCCAGCACTTGCGCTATGCCACCATAATTTAAAGCAAGAGAAACACTGACACCTGACGCCTGTATACCTCCCACATTGAGGTTGATGCAATTTGAGAGGAACGAAGTGAGGGCAAATGCACATAGACCTAGGGGAGCAGGGTTGGCAAATTTCCGCACGTCAACAGGCAAAGACTGAAGTTCCTGTCTACGCGATGGCAGGCGTTCGTCTGGAGTATTTGATGGGAGCAAAGAGTAGTCATCTCTGAGTTGGGAGACCACCGGGGAGCCAATCTTGTCCTGCGTACTTGGCTCGATGTGATGGTTTGATACAACTTGGGTTTTTTGAACCTCTGTAACATTAATAATGTGCTCCATGAATAGTATTATAAGACCGAATGCTTATTTCGTCTTCGTGGGAAGTCGTTTGGCCAAAAAGATAGAAATATAATGGCCAGTGGGTAGAGAAAGGGCAACGGGGATGGGAATATGTAATATATTCTGGAGCGTAGATGGTACATACCCTAAGAGTCTTCGGCCCAGGCACTGTGCCTTGGCGCACAAGCAAGCTAGTCCCTCTTCCGCGCCCATAGAGTGTGTTGAATCACTCAAATCCGGGAAACATATACGGGGAAGTCCGCGGGCGCCGTCACATGAGCGTCTTTGGCAGGCTGCCGAGCCAGCCAGTGAAAGGATTTTCCGGCAATGACCCATGCACACAGAACACATATTTTTGACTATGCGGAAGGATCCGATAATCAGGGTTGGATAAAGCCGACTTCTATTACGCTCGGGCAGTGCCGCGAGGAACAGAAACTCAATCGCGTTGGTTGAAAAGACTATATTGGTGTCAGTGTCGCGCTTTATCTATGGAATATTTTGCTCTTCTGAATATCAAAACGGATAGTTCTATAAAGAGCATCTTGCACGTTATTTTCGACTGCTAACCTGCTTATCCCAAATTGCTCCCATGGCTAAATATGTCGGGATCAAAACCAAGAAGAATTATCAATTGCTATATTCATCGCAGGCATGCGTGATGTCCACTTGCAAGACGTCCAACCTACTTTGAATTTACTAGATATGGTCTTCCAGACCAGCACTAAGCAGTATAAAGACCTCTCACCCGTAGTATCTTGCCAAAGACAGGTCTCTATAGTCCAAAATTGGAGGTGATGCGAATTGCTACATGCGTTTACTTTTACCGGAGTGCGGCGATTCCCGGAAAATGTAATATTCATGACCAATATACTTCCCTTTTGAGACCGAACTTACCAGAAAGGGCATTTGCAGGCTATAGAACTGGCAGTCCCATACAAGATTGGAGGACATGCTAGAAAATTCTAATTGCCCTGGATGTCAATCTCACACTGTGATCTACCGGACGCTTGACCTGGCTAGATCTATATTATGCAGTAAGCAAGAGCCTGCTCAGGTCAGGTGGGCGGGCATTGCACAGAAGTTTCAACAAATAATGGCTATTCAGACGAAAAATCTAGGTTGGGTATCCTTTATAAATCCATCGTATTGCGCCGAGTTTCCTGAAAACAGAAGCAAAATCCCCACCCCATAATATCATTCCCAAAACGCCTCAATGCCCGTGGTCTGGAACTAAATAAAGAATAATGTATGTAAGATCGGCATGAAAATTCCTTGGGAGTCTCGAATACAAATCCCAAGGAGCACAAATACATGAAAGAGACAAACTATGCCCGCCAGCCCTGCACGAAGTCGTGCAAGCGATCAATTACAACACCGAAGATAGCATTGACACTGTCTGCGATAAGTTGCTCAAAGTGACGGATAGCTTCTTCCTCGGTCATTTCAAGATGGAAGCGCTCCTTCACTTTCAGGACGGCTTTGTCAGGCTCCACTCGAATATCAGGAATATTGGCATCCACCATCAAACTGAAGAGGTTAAGAATCAGATTGGCGGATTTGCGCAGTGTGGTGTAGGCAGTGTAGCAGTACTGCTTGAATTGCAGATAGTGGGGCGAAGTTGTGCCGCCCATGCCTTCAACCATTTCCTTGCAGAGTTTCATCATGGGTGCAAAAGGCTTTGGATCACGACCGAGGATGAAGCCAAAGTCGGCGTGGAAGAAGTGGCCATCTGGCGCTAGAAGCAGATTTTCAAGATGTCGGTCGCCAACGCCGAGGAGGTATGTGATGACGCAGTATCCTGCACATGATTTGATATATGTATCCATTGTTTCTTTGCGGACGCCGAGAGGCTCATTGTCATCTGGGTTGTTGGCTTGTAGATAGGTGAGGATGGATTTGTACTTGGCGGATGCTGCGGAGAGAGAAATTGAGGGAATGAATTGCACAGCGCCGGCCGTTGCGCTGGTGGCAAGAATTCGATAAGGAGTCAGTTTTAGATCTAGGTTCTCCTTCTGCAAAAGGCGATCCATCAATATGATAATCTGGATAACCAGTTGGTCCTGGCGAAGATCATCACCGACTTTGAACAGCATCGGATAGCGGCGACCTTCGGAAGTCTTGAATGTGATAAGCAAAGGGGAAAGAGTAGACTTGAAGACGTTCGATTCCTCGGGGTATAGTCCAACGACTGAAACATCGGGATTCAAAGGTAAGGGCAGGGGTGGATCTATGTTGATCAGGTCGTTATCAGGGTCACGGAGATATTTTTTCAGCATCTCAATCTTGCCAACTCTGTTTTCGCGCGCGAAGCGTACGTCCTTGGCTATTTTGGAGAGCACAGTGACCATTTCACCTTGGTGCAATAGTGTCTTTTTGTGCTCAGGATGAAGCTTCTCCAGTTCAATCATGAAGTAGTATTCAACCCGCGCAAACAGCCGACGCTGAATTGCATCAGCGTCATCAAATTCGACCATGAGGTACCAGTGTAGGTAGTTGCCAAGTTTGAAGTTATTAGCCGCACGCGAAATCAGGAAATGTGCAAGCGAGGACTCCTGCGGAGCCGCATCAGGTTGGTTATCCGGAGTTGCATCATATTTCAGAGCCTGCACCAATTGAAGAAGATACAGAAGCAACTCCTCGTCGTCTGCCTTCCGCAGTGTTTCCACAGCATACGAACGGACAGCAGGATTATCGAAGGTAGGACCCAGAATCTCCAGAGCGTCATCGACATCAATCTCGGTCCATTTAGGGAACATTTCAACCGCTTGCCGCGATTCTCCAACATCCCGCCAGTTGACTGATTTGACGAATTTTGTCAATGCCTTCTTCTCGCGTGTAAGATGATACCTGAAACGCCACACAAGGTCCTTCTCTTCTGCAGTGAGGTCTTGCGTCGGTTCATAGGAGATAATCATATTGAGATCATCCCTGATCTTTGGGTTGGGCTTCAGGTCACGATCCATGATGCCGGTCCGATGGCTTCGGATCAACCGCCTGTGTTTGTCCTCACATGGGTTTCCGATTTGGCCAACTTCCGGATCGTAGATTTGAATGATATTATGGGGATCGGCGTGTGAAATTCCAGGTCCAAATTGTACCTCCGGAACTGGCTTGAGAGTAGTATTGGGGTGGGGAGGTGCATTTTGGGGCCAAGAGGAAATGGGCGGAGGAGGATACTCGTGATCAGCCCACACAATGGGATGATCAAAGCGTGGAAATTCAACGTAAAGATCGAAATACTCATCTTCGAGGCTCTCTTCATCAGAGCTATCATCCTGATCTTTGACATGTTTCGGATATTTTTGCAGGGCTGCGTCAAGTTCAAGGGCACGCTTTTGAGCCGCTTCATCTGCATTTGTCTTCAGTTTCTCCAACTCCCGAAAGAGCAATTGATCCATCCAGTCAACACGTGGGATCTCGCCCATTTCATGTTTCTTGATCAAGACTTCGACCCGTTCCAGTTCCGCCTCTTCGGGTGACTGCTGTGAAGGATCACGGGTATTCGGTTTACGACGCCTAGGTGGCAAAACGGATGGAGTAGAGGTTGTAGCAGAGCCGTCTGCGTCCTTGTGTAAATAAACCTTGCACTTTTGTCTGCCCATCTTCAATTTTCCGTCCTCGTCAAACAAGGTGATTGTAGTTCCACCGAATGGGATGTGCGTAACCCTATCGGGAGCGAGTGGAGACATATCAACGATGGTGATTGCCAGCTGAGAATTACGCTCGGCATCCTTGATGGACATGGGCATCTCCAGCCATTCATTCCATACTCTGGTGGTTTTGAAGGCCCTGTATTTGGTCTTCATGGGCACGCCCAATGGCTTCGACTCCGACCATATCTGAGAGGTCACATAAAGGTCGGAGGTAGGGTCTTGGACGGAGGCAATATGCCGTAGCTCGGCGTTTTCATCAAGAACCGTGAATGGGATCGGCTTCTGCTTGCCCTCTAACGAGCCACTGTAGATACGTCAACGTGAGAAAAAGCTTGATTTTCAGAAAAGAAGGACGTACATCTTGATACGTATAGGTATGTCCACTTGAGTGGTCACGGCAAAGGTGAAGGCTTCCATCTCTGTTCCCCGTCTGGAGAGAGCAACATGTCGCTGCGTCATGGCCGATAAGGAACCGGCCTCGGGACGCGGGGAGGTCACGTGCAATGTCTACGCGACGCGACAAACGTTTGCGATCATCGAATGTAGCCACACATCTTTTTTTGGACTAGTGTGTTGTGAGGTATAATCTTTCTCTAAATTGGGCTACTGCGTGTAGTCGTACGCGATTAGTTGTCCCTTTTTTTCTTTGTTGAATTTTCTTTGTTACAACCCCCATCTCATCTCGCACTAATAAATCTGATCAAGTATGGCACGTCTCATTCACACAAACCTGGAGGAAGCAAATACCCCAGGTTCCCGCCCAACATCATCAACATCACCACCAGACGCATTTACTTCTGATAAAGAAAATCGGCATCGAGGTATCAATAAGAGAACTACCGCTGCGATGCCACCGGGTGCACAAGGTAAACGACGGCGGCTAGCCGACCGCCCCTCGAATGTCCAGTCTGCCCAATCTGCCCAGTCTGCTCGATCTGCGCAATCTGCCCGATCTATGCAGTCGCAAGCATCATCTCAACGAACCACCAGCGACACACGATACTATGACCCTGATCAGGATCCCGAAGAACGGAGAAGTGTACGGAGAGGGCTTCGAGATCTGGGTAGAGAACTAAATGGTAAGTTGCTTTGTCTGGAATTGAGACTAAAGTGATGGCACTCTAACATTTCTCACAAAGACACGCGAGGCGAGCTCATGCAGCCTGGAAACGATGGTATCCTCAACATTGTCGAACAAGCAAATCAATTCTACGCCAAAGTGAAGCAGACTGCCGACGCCACGCTCGATTCGCGCATCCTGGTCAATACCGCTGATATAACGCACAAGAAAGCCACCCAACTTGCCCTCGGTGACACCTCTGCCGGTATCGACGTAGACGAATTTGTCTCCAAGTGTGTATCGTTCATGCGGCGCGGCCCAAACAATGCGACGGCTTCAACAAATGGGACACAGGGACGCCGAGGGCGCCTTGGTCGAAGCCAAAGAGATCCCGATGCCAGTGACGAAGACGATGGCGATGCGATGAACTGGGACACACTTGGCCGATCGGCCTGCTTTCCTAGCAATGCTCGTCCAGCCGTGTCTGGATGGTTGCTTGGGCCGCTCTCAGTACAGAAGCGTACGCGGCTAATGACACAGCGAAGAGCAGCAGAGCAGATTGATCCATCGCAAGCCGTGGCGCCCCGAGAAATGGCACAGCAGGATCTTGGCCAGCAGGACAGCACGAATCTGACCCAGATCTGTTCTGAGATCAACAAGCTGCTTGCCAATAACCAGCGTGACCGTCAGAAAGCAGCCACGGATGAGCTTACCCTCGACCCAAATCTCACCCCGGAGAAGGCGCAACGAATCATGGATAAGCACAGCATAGCGGACGACGGGGGAATTCCCTTGTTTCGCTTCTGTATCAACCCGAAGTCTTTCGGACAAAGCGTGGAAAACCTGTTCTACGTGAGTTTCCTCGTGCGAGACGGAACAGTGGGTGTATCAACAGATAGTCGTGATCTGCCGACTCTGCGTGAGTATTCTTCAACGTGACTGGTTGATAAAGCACTAATAGTTTGACAGATGCGGCCGCGCCGTTCGCCCCCAGTGAAGCCCAAAAAAGGGCGTGCAAAAACATCAGGCGGTGTTTAGCCTCGACCACGAGACGTGGCACGAAATTATCGATGTGTTCAAGATTAAGGACTGCATCATACCCCACCGAGAAGAGAAGGAACAAGAGACTGGCACAAGTTGGTATGCCTAAGCTTCTTCTGAAGACACGATTCCACGAGTCGATGTGTGTTTTACAAGATACCCCTTGATCTTTTGGCTTGCATCACTAGGTCATTTAATAATCTAGCTTTGTACTATTCGTATTTGATGACATCTAGCGCATAATTTAAAGCATGAGGCCTAGAAGATAAATTCCAAAAATTCCAAAATAACAGGCTGCTTGCATAGTCTCTTTTAATGTACACAAGCCGGCCATGTATGTACAAAAGTAGACCATGTAGTTACCGAGGTCTCCCCAAGCGATGATAAATTCGGCCAGGCTCGATCCAAAGTGGAGAGATAAGATCATACGTCATTCGAAGGTTGTCTGGCCACTTGCTTTTCCCACGGAACTTCATAAAGCTGCTCCTGTTCAACCATTTACTATTTTACAATTGAACTTTCCTTTGGTCTGTTAGTGCATGAGATATTTACCTTCAAGAAACATCAACTGAGACATCCAACGCCAGGGAGCGCAACTCTCGAACTCAAAAACCACAACCAAAGAGAAAAGAAAAGGAAAGCTGCCAAAATGCCACAGCTCTTCCCAACCAACCCTTCTGCGACCATGGTAATTCGCCATGTGACACCAGACATCGTGACCATGAGTCTACCATTCTCACGGTTCGGACACCTGCAGTTCGGCGGACGAGGGACGCTGGGTGAGTGCTGACCCTTACAGAGCCAACCTACCAGGCGCATAATACCTCGGGGGACAGGGGATGATGTGCAGTCCTGTCAAGCCCACGGGGACCCTTGTTTAAGATCTAGCGCTAACGCTCCTTGCATGCGACAGTCAAGCTTGCCACCGGCTCCCTCGCAGTATTCTCGCCCGTCAGCCTAACGCCCGAAGTCCGCGAGACAGTTGAGTCCCTCGGCGGAAACGTCCAATACATCACAGCGCCAGATATCGAACATCACCTCAACCTCACCCCGTGGAAGGACGCATATCCGCAAGCAGAGATCCTGGCCCCGGAGGGTCTGTATGAGAAGCGGCAATCGAACCCGGAGTTCAAGGACACCCCGTTCCAGCACGTATTTAAGAAGGACGATAAACTGCCGCGGTCGATCTCGAAGGAGTTCGATGCCGAGTTTGAGAGCGAGTATGTGTATGGCCACGGGTCGCGCGAGCTGGTGTTTTTGCATAAACCCACGCGCACGGTCATCGAGGCGGATCTGCTCTTCAACCTGCCCGCTAAGGAGCAGTATTCCAAGAACCCCCGAAGCGTCGGGGACTAATTTCCTTACACGGCTTATTATGCCGCTGGTGTCCACCAAGCCGCCGGCTACATGGCACAGACGGTTTGCATGGTATATTCTCTCGTCACAAGATCGGGCAGCGTTCGATGAGTCTATGAGAAGGATTGATCAGTGGGACTTTGATCGTTTGATTCCTTGCCATGGTGATACTATCGAGACTGGTTCCAAGGGGATCTTCCGCGATGTTATGGCATGGCACTTGGATCGGAAGAATACGTAGTCTTCTTGTCTTGTCGAAATTATTGTAACGGTTGATATTTTTATTTTGACTCTACGGATGGGAGGTCATTTATTCATCGATATGTACAGTTGTTTAATTTGCTTTTTGGGGGACGTGGTAGGCAGCATTATTTCGAGTTTGATCTTCTCTCTTGGCTTTTCCAAAGTGGATATGTGTACATACTTGTTCTTGCGGCCGTTGCTATTCATAGTATCAACGGCCCACTAGTTATTAGCTCAAATTGTAAACTTTGCATCGCCCGCATGTTTCTGGGCTCTTCTTGCATTGTACATTTCGATTTTTGCTATGTCTGCCTAGTTCTGCTATATGTCAGACATGAAATACTACCATGTAGTAATAATGGAAGTAATCTTATGATCAAAACAATGAAAAATAACTCTACATCCTCATAAAAGATCATATCCATAGTTTTAAAAAAAATATAAAAAACCAAGCGTGTCGTCCCACTCCGTGGCCCCACGTCATAGGGCTGAGAGAAGAGAAGAGTACAGAGTAGGTACCTCAGATGGTCAGATGACTTAAATTAAACATGATGTCAATGTCGTCAGAGGTGTACAAGGTCTCTTCGCTTCAAACCGGATCTCCCCTGTCGGTAGCTCGTATGTTGTCTGTCTAAAAAACAGCACGCACCTGTCAGACAGCAACGATGATCGCCCTAAGTGGAGACCCAACCCAATTCCGGTTCAAATCAGAGCTATCGCCAATAGTCGATGGGATCGGCAGTCAACTCATCATTCGAAAAGCAAGCCACTGAAGTATATCACAATCCAGCACAGAAGAGCCCGTATTCTGTGCCAGCACAGCGGGACCTTTTCTAGCATGGGGAGGCTGGGTCTGGGGAAGACAGGGATGGCGATATGGAGGCAGCAGTCCTCCGTACTATCCAAATACTTCCAGGGCTATGCAGTACCTGTACGTCCTTATTCCCCACAGGTATAGGCCCACTCCTTGCTCGGGTGTTGAGGAGCAGTCAGCCACATTCCACATCAGCGGTCAGTCCGCCACGAAAAGTCGATCTCTTACCCACCCAAGCCTGGAAAACGGTTGGGCACGTTTTGTTCACAGTCCTTGACCAATAGTCACCTCGACTTGTTGGAAATAACTCGCTGTATACGGAACTGATCTGACGACATCTGGTGGCTTAGTTTGACTCTATTGGTCGCGCCTAATGCAAGCTGTGCTTTGTTTTTAGGTACTTGTGATTGAATTTCGTTTTTCTTGCTTTTTTAGTTTATTGGGTTTTCATGTTCGTCCCTTGCTTTAAAGACACACTGTCGCTCCCTCTCGGAGTTTGCTTGTCTGTGCCACCTAACACATTATATAGCTTCTCGTGATCCCCCATACCTCCCAACCCCACGCTACATTTTCACGAGCTTGACACATTATTTTCTTATACATTCACATCCTTCAGATTTATTAAAGGAACAGCTCATTGATTTGATAACACCCCAACAATGCCCGTCATTTCACGCCTTGCGTCTATTATCCTCCGCGTTGCGGAGATTGCCTTCGCAGCTGTGAATAACCCCGATATACACCAACTTATAAACTGTATCTGACACTTTTTTAGGTCGTCGCAGGTGTTATCGGACACTACCTTGCCGAGGTTAACCACAGCGGCGCAGATGTTGACTGGTGGCCCCAGTCACGATGGATCTATACTGAAGTAATCGCTGGCTTATCGATATTGCTGGGCCTCATATGGCTGATCCCGTTCTCGTCGGGATTCTTTTCCTGGCCTAGTATGTGCTCGATATACTATCTGGTGAATATAGACCAATGCTTACTGGACTCTAGTGGACATCCTCATTTCGTTTGCTTGGTTCGCTGCGTTCGGTGTCCTCGTCGACACCATCCGCCACTTGCCCTGCGGCAGCATCTGGTCCTGGCACTTTAGAGGAGACCAGACGTGTGGCCGGTGGAAGGCAGCTGAAGCCTTCAGCTTCCTTTCTGCTATTATCTGGCTTGCTTCTGCTATCGTGGTATGTGATGACACTATCTCATACATATAGATAAGTACTAATAAGCCTTTAGGGGATCTGGTTCACCTTCCGTGTTCGCGAAAGCACCACTGATGGAGTGTAAGTGACCAACGCACACGTTCTAATAACACGGTCTTGGTTGATTGATATTGACATACTGAACAGTCGCCGTCGCCGCTGGGGTCGTTCCGCCGTCTAGGTAATGGCATCGAGCCATCAAGTCTCTGTACAGCAGGCATCAACACCAGCACTCCGCCATGCACGACTGAGTATGCACATCTCGCCTCGTGCTCAGCACAATACCAGTGACATCAATCCTTTCACGATATTCTTGCTTTTTTGTTTTCTTGCTTTTCTTTTGTGCTTGCCTCATGATTTAGAGGCCAACGAATTACGACTTACGTTGATACCCTTGGTGGAAGAATATCTTGGTGGAATACTCTTTTCGGTGCTATGTTTGCAACTTGGCTGTTGATTTTGCGGTAAAGTCACTCCTTTGGAATATATTCTCAATACATATGGTTTATTTGGACGTCTATGGCTACGCAAGCTTCTGCCGTAATTTTTCCACAGCTATGGATATTGCTTCAACGGTGCTCAAACGCTTTGTTACACACACACCCTCGCCTACATATGTAGTTTCCAATACCCAGCTCGAGTAACAAAGAACGGTTAACAAGGGCATTCATTACCTTGCACATCTCCTTGTTCTATGTGGTTCCTTTTTCGCCTTTGTCGTCTTCCTTGTTGCCTTTCATTCCCTTTTGTCATTTTATTCACAATTATAAGCCCATCATGGTGGAAAACGGGGCTTAAAAACAATATAAATAGGCTATGTCGGACCATCATACAATATCTCATCAAGCCTCAACAGTTCTTGGCAATTCAACTCTTGCTGACTTTGAGTTAGGGATTCATCTTCCCTGACCATCGTTACCACAGTCCATCACAGTCGATTCCGCTAGCTTCGGAATTCCGGTACCAGAGAGAAGCCATGTCAGTGATGCTAGACAACACCTCAGCCCGGCTCTTTCAGACTGCACGCACTGGATTCCAAACCCGCTGCCAGCAGCTCATTGACGACATCCTACACAATGACTTATCGCTTGAGGATGAACTCGGTGATAGGGTAAGTCAGCTTCATCTGTCATTGGAACAACTTAAACGAGCCGGACAGATGATGGCCATTGATTGCTCGACAAATGAGCTTGTGCGTGTTGTACCTATTGGATTTTTCACCGTTCTGATCGACCGCCCCGGACAGATCCCGATGTCCGAGTTCGATTGGGCCTGCATTTACACCTCTGACACTTTGAACATGCTGACCGCTGACTTTATGCGCCACAGGGCCTCCGCTGATGTTGCCCGCAACCTCGAGACTCAGTCATTCCTCTGGGATCTAGCTGTGCCGTTCCCGGTAACGATTTCCCAGGCTGAGGATTTTGCCCCAGAGCCATATGTCAATGCTCTTCAGATTCCTCCTGCTGCTAGTATGGCTCGTATGAACTCTCGGATTCCGGTGAGGCCTCGCCCTCCTCCCCCAGTCGACACTTATGTGGCTTATAACCGTCCTGTTCCTGGTCCTTATCCCCCTGCCTTGCCCCCACGACCTGTGCCTGAGTCCGAGCCTGTCTCCCCAGCAGGTGCTCACGCTCTCGGCCTTCATAGAAATCCCAGCATGCGTCCTCGGTAAACTCTTATTATATATTCCCAGGTTGATTCTCATCATTACCCCTTTCCAGAAAAGAAAACGAAAAACAAAAAAGAGACTTACATACTTGTTGTATTCCAGTCATTTCATCGTCTCGTATACTTTCATTGCCAAAGCCGTCATTTATTCCATCTTCAAGATATACTTCAATATAACTTACCTTGAGAATCTAGAAAGCTTTAGTAACTTTTCGGCTCCCAGTAAAACGAGTCATTAATCCACGTAGAATAAGAAGAATACTTGACACTTTTTGTATCAATTCTGTATTAATGCTCACGTGTATCAATGGTGACGCGGTATACTTCGGCCTCGAGAAGTGATCGGTTCTTGCCTTATTAGGTACTATGTCTCCAGTTTTTCTTTGGCCAATATGTACTCCTCGAGTTGGGGCTTTCCATAATTTCCTCATTTTCTAGGTTCCAACTTTGTCAACTTGCCAATGTCATGTCGCATTTTACCAGTCATTTTTTCGTAGAGCTTCCCTGGCACTTTCATTTCATTTCATTTCATTTCATTTCATTTCATTTCATTTCATATCTGATTTTTCATTTCTCTGTTATTTTGTCCATTGTGTGGTGGGTTTCTCTTTTTCAACCTTGGAAGCTATTATTACATACCATACTATGTATTTCCATATGGCCTATATCTTGATGATATGCATATTATAACCATCACAGGCCCTAACTTAACGCCGAACTCTCCTTCAATCTTCTAGAGCAGCTTTGATTGGGCATTGTAAACATTTTCGGCGGCTAATCCTCAGGTTCGCTATTAGTGGGCACGAGCAACTGGAGTCTACTTGATAACATTAGGTTGAATGCATGTTCCTTCTGCTTCCTGGCTGTGTTGTTGTGATCAAGCCAAAGTCCATTAATTCCAAATCAATCAACAACAGTGAACTCGACTGCGTTAGATGAGGCAATCATTATAACCGGTCTTCCGTCGTTATCAACAGGGTCAACAACATAAGCATTCAGCCAGCATCGCAATTTCACCACTGTATTGGCATATTCTTCCCGATCCCCCCAAGTCCACCAGTCAATGTAGCCACCCCAATACTGGTATCGATAGGTGTCCCCGACCACTGTAGCGGGATGCAAATCGGAAAATTCAATTGAAACATGTCTAGTGCAGCTTTCCCCTGGTTGGAGGAGGCCCAAGAAGAACTTATCATCGGTGACATTGACCTCAACGTCGGGGTCATCCACCATAATCCAGCCCCCTTCGCGACTTGCTTGGTCCAAGGCAGTCATTGATGTCCACCCGGGTGCACGAGGGGCCCAATTCACAACCATCTTTCGTTGTGTTTCGAGCTACAAAAGAGGAAGGGATCGGCAAAAAACCTATTTGACGCGATCGGCTTTCCGTCCTCTCCTTGAACAACACAAGATGTATCTTTCATACCTCCGTCTCGCCTTGGTTCTCCTCTTTGTGAAAGATGCATCAGCTTGTAACCGACCATACTCCGCCTGGATGGCCGACAGTGTCATCTCCCGCGCTCAAGCCATTGTTCAAGAGGGCACCGCTCCATCAGCATCCACATATCTTCAAGTGGGATTCTTCCAGTCTTCCATCCTCCGCTTAATCGACTACTACCATACACCTGAATCAGTCTGTGCAGAGAACGACTGGGGAAAATACCTGCAGTCCAGCACAAATAGCATCACGCCATACCTTCTAAATGCTACACAAGATAGCAGCTACCCCCTCGACCGGCTGTCAACCGGCAAAGGACTATTATATCAAAATGAGAACTTCAAGACCTCTACCGCCTCCGACAGTCTCCATTCGCTTCGTGATTCTGTCAATCTGCAGCGCAGAAATGCACTTGGCGGGTACTGGTATTTCAATTATCCCAACTGGAGCTATCTCGACGGAATGTACTCTCTAGTTCCGTTCCTCTTGTCCTACACTACTCACTTCGATCCCACAAATGTTACTGTACCTGACGATGTCATCCACCAACTCGATCTGCTCTGGACTCACTGTCTTCACAATGACTCAGGTCTCCTGGTCCACGGCTACGATGAGTCGAAAAGTGCATCCTGGGCGAATCCAGTTACCGGCGCGAGTCCGATCGTCTGGGGCCGATCTCTAGGGTGGTATTTCATGGCGCTGGTGGACAGCTTAGAGCTATCTTCATCCTTCCCGAAGCGCGTGTCACACTATCTTCTCCGAAGACTCACCCAACTGGCTGGATCTGTGATTTCAGCTGCTGATCCCAACACCGGATGCTGGTGGCAAGTTGTGGATCAACCGAATAAGGAAGGAAATTACATCGAGTCTAGTGTGTCTGCCATGTTCACGACCGCCTTGTTCCGAGCGGCTCGACTTGGCTATCTCCCCGATAACCTTGCTTCTGAAGCAACGAAGACAGCGGGCAAATGCTATGGTCATCTCCTTGATGCTTTTGTGGTCCGGAATGACAATGGGACACTCGGGTACAACGGGACTGTCTCCGTCTGCAGCCTGAATTCATCGGCATCGTATGAGGTAAGCTTTTGTTCTGTCGGAAGCTCAGTTCGCCTGCTAATTGTTTAGTACTATGTCTCGCAACCGCTTTTATATAACAGTGTTCATGGGACAGCAGCTTTTGTTCAAGCGAGTTTAGAGCAAGAGATCATGAACCACTCGAGAAACTCTACGAAGGGAACTTAATAGACTAATATCTGATTCAATGTATGCGGTCACTTTGAAGTGGATCCAAAACGAATGATCGTGGACATAGAATAAAGTATTTTCGGTCAGAAACATACTCAATCAAGCATTTTGAGATCAGAAGTTAGCCATGCTATCGATTGTATCCGTTTCATTTTCTCTATCGAGGCTCATGACAACATCCATCAACTCTAGTGATTCTGGCGGTGGACTTGTTGGGCTCTCAGCAGGTGACAGAGTAGTGGCACATCTTTGAAGAGGACGGGTACATAAAGAATAGCCGTAGGCCAGGGGACTTTATCTATTTATTTTGTTAATATCTTTGGGGAACTCGTCCTAGATGGGATCCATGAGGTCCACGGCGGATTTGATATCGCCACTTGGCCAAGCCAGCAACCCGGATGACTAAAAGCCAAGGACTAACGAACGAGGTTGCCAGTTCGACGTTGAAACGGAGGAATTCCATCACTTCCTTCCCCCTGAGCTCCAGATCTCAGATAAACACTGTATATATAAAAAAAATGCAGTCGCGACCGGACTCTGCCGGGGCAAGTGCGCGATCACCCTCAGCGGATAAGTCGTCAACCTCCAAATATTCCTTGCCGGAGATCGGGTCGCAGTACAAGGATGAAGCGCGTGACAGTGATGAACTAAGCTTCGACTTGGACTTAGGCGACGTGCCTCTTCTGCCCTCGGAAGTCCACGACATGGAGGCTCAATCGGAGAATCTCGAGCGCGATCCGGTGTTTTCTTGTACGCCCACGGGATTCTGTGCCTGGCTTCGCGGCCCGACGCCGGCGCATGTCTACTACATCAACCCATGGTTCCCTCGTTTACAGGCTGCGCCGGCGCGTCTGATTGATCGGAAATTTCCGCACAGGAATTCAAAGATCGCGCTTCTTTTTGGAGGTTTAATCTTTTGGATTGTCGTGTTCTTCGCGTCCTTGAAAGCTTCTGTCGCGGGCCAAGAAGTTCCGGGGTATGGGCAGCCCGTCAAGCTGTCTTGTCACCACCGTTTATGGTGTGTTTCTATTTTTATCCCTAATCAGATCATCTGATCTTGTGAACCTAACCATATCTATTTAGGAGCAATTCCACAAATTGTGGACTAAATGGTGACCTTTGTCGACCATTCGAGGACCAATCCTTCGCGTTCCGCTGTCCCTCTGGCTGTGCGGCGGCGATTCTCCTGGAGCCGTATGTCGTTGGCGACCAGGAGCTCAATTACCGACCGTTAGTCGTGGGAGGTAAGCCATTCAAGGTGGATGGTCATGACAGCGGCACTTACCGCGGCGATTCGTCAATTTGCGCGTCGGCATTGCATGCAGGTCTAATTGATGACGCAAGGGGCGGATGTGGCATCCTGCACCGCACAGGCGAGCAGAAAAACTTCCGTTCTATCATGCAGCACGGAATCGAAAGTATCGAGTTTCTCTCGAGCTTCCCGATGTCATTCCGACTCGGTAATGAAGCGTCAACCCCAGACTCGAGCGAGACAAAATCAATCAAGTGTTCTGATGCGCGCTGGTCGCTATTCGCCTTCACATTGATCTGGACCACCATCTTGTCATTAGTCGTGACATCGGCACCGGCATTTTATTCCATGATATATTTCATTGTCTGGTTCCAAGTCGCCATGGCGTCCGACCCACCCTCTATGGGGAGCTATTACGACCTTGTGTCAATTGCGCTCGGTCGATTCCTGCCTGGTGCATTTGTGGGATTCGTGCTGTATTACTTCTGCGTTCGGCACACGCTTAAAAATTTGGATGCGCACTGGGATAAGACTGTTTTGTGGCTGGGCGGCTGCTGGGTTGGCGCCCTGAACACAGACACATTCGATCGCATTCCAATTTCTCGCCTCACACCCCATGATATCCAGCAGCAACCGGGTGCTCTCACAGCTCTCATCATTGTAGTCGGGTCTTTGGTCGCAATCGCCTTTGGTCAAGCACACTGTTTCCGTCGCGAGGGCCGCTTCTTCCCTACGATAAGCATATACGGCGTCCTTGTTGCAGTTGTTCTCATCCTTGTCGCCGTTCCGCATATGAACCTACGCATCCACCACTATATTATCTCTCTTCTCTTCCTACCTGGAACAACTATGCAAACGCGACCCAGTCTCCTATACTCAGGTATCCTTATTGGTCTTTTTATAAACGGCATCGCCCGCTGGGGCTTCGATTCGATCCTCCAAACTCCAGGCGCTCTCCTTGATGGTGCCAAACTTGGGACCGTTCCACCAAAGATATATCCTCCTTCCATGACGGATGTGAACAATCTCGTCTTCTCATTCCCGGACCTCGAGCCGCATGCCGACGGTCTCAGTGTCTTGGTCAACGACGTCGAGCGCTTCCAGGTCTTCAGACCTAAGGATGGCCAACCTTTGCCAGATTTCACTTGGTCTCGTACTTATCCCCACGAGTTGGAGTATTTCCGTTTTGGACTGGTTCATACTAATGCTTTGGGCGGCCTTTGGTATGAAGACTTTTCTCCACCTGCCGTTTGGGGCGCTGATGGTGATTTTGTTTTCCCTGATCCTGAGATCTCTGAGGATCCTGAATCCGAATCCGAATAGACAAATGTGGTATATGCCATCTGTACATACGCAAATTCTTGTGTTGAAATTAGACATAGATATTCTTGATAGATTTGCGATGCATAAACTCTGAGCTCTGGAATCTTTGGTAATTATGTACATACATATGTAGTTATCTTTTCTCGGGGGGGTTAGTCCCTCATACAGTAAGTTTTACAATTCTTCCTTACTCACATCCGTGTGGGATCAGTGAAGTAGACACCGATATATCCGACTGGATTAACACATCACTCCGAGGTTGCCCAGGTGAAATTCTGCCAGTTGTTGTGGTTGGAATAAACATGGGCTGGATTGCGGTTTGCCAAAAGAGGTAATAGATCGTGCCCAAGGTGAAAGTAGGAGGTTGACGCTGATTTTTATATTCTTACTTCGTTGGAGAAATGGCACTGGAAAGTATGTATAAACGGATGGACGGGCATTTGGCCTAGCGGTTGTTGTTGGCGACGTTGGCGCACTGCTACTTTGGATCCCCGTCCATCCTCAGCTTGAGTACCGTTTGATCTCAAGTTGCCGGATCGCCTCCGGGCGAAGATTTTTTTATTGGGATTCTTTCCCGATGATGATAATGCGACTAAGCAAGCTCTAGAGCCACAATTTCCGGAATTCATTGAGTTTCTATAGGCCATACCTACTTCACGATGGTGACCGTTCCATCACACATGTCATTTGTGTAGCATGAAACCCATGGTCACCACCCCATAATAATACATCTGCCTATAGAGCTGGACGCAAAGCAACCGTGAAAAGCTTTCATTCCTTAATATAGCCACGACATGATACCTGTACAATACTTTGCTTCCCGCCGTCCTCTATCACCAAAGCCGTGAGCTTCCCCCCTTCACACAACCTGAGTCAAGACCCTTTGTGAATGTGCGGATAGAAAGAGACGTAGAAGCATCGTGGCCATAGACAACGGTCGTGGTATTTGCGAGGGGATCTGCAGTTGAAGTCTCGAGGCTCGAGTATAGCTTTGACTGATGTTTATCAAACATCTAGATTGAAAGTATATCAGTATGACGAAAAGATTGAAGGAGTGGAATAGAAGTAGAATCCATACTTGAGCCCAATTCATGCCCTTCTTTTTCGGACTAGGCACATGCGTATCTAAATCAATGGTCCGCATAGTCATCACGCTGGACGGGTCCTGCTTCTCAAGCTCGATGCCCGGTACTAGTCCCGCATGAACGACAACCACCTGGCCCATGCCTGGAACTTGGCCGACATTCAGGATCACTGGACACTTCTCCAGCCACTGAGCTTGCTCGTCGCTCAAAGATCGCGCGAGTGCACGCTCACCAAGTTCCTTGGATGAGAAAACAGAGTCCTTATCGTCATCGGGGGTTGCGAGAGTTTTGGTCTTCGCCATCTCGTATCGATGAAGCAGAATCCGGTCCTCGTGATTCCCGCGAACACTAGATGCCGAATGCTGCCGAGCTAAGTCCACGACTCCTGTACTGTTTGGTCCTTTGTTGATCAGGTCACCGACAAAGATAAGGTGATCGCCACTTTTCTGGTTGAAGGAGACTTTTTCAAGAAGTTGCACCACTGTTAAGGCTCGTCAATTATAAGAATTCCCGTAGCTGGAGGGGTATTTCTTACACTCCTCTTTACAGCCATGCACATCGCCCACAATAATTAGCCGTTTCCGACTCGTTTCCCCCGAATCCACTCTCGCCAAATCTCCAGGCACCAGTTCTGGGTCCAAGGTACGGATCTGAACCAAGCCGTCAAACTGAGGGGGCGAATTTGCTGTCTTAGATGTCGGATCAAGTGAATGCAACAGCGAGTTTTCGTCTTGTAGTCGTGGAGTAAGCAGCATTCGCCAACCAATCCATGCAAATACAGCCAACGCGACATAGATCAGCACGTGCCGGAAGCGCGGCGCGAAAGCTACAGAGAGAGCCATTTGGGACCATCCCGGGGGTGTGATATCATCCGCGGGGGAGCTAGAGCCGTGCTGGGGACCTCCAGGGGCTCTAGATTGCCATCCGTTTCTGGCAGAATCAATCAGTGGGTGAGAATATTGTGGAAATTGATCTGAGTAGGAGGGATGGTGAGTTGTGGTCGGGTGGAAGTCGTTATCTGCGCTGTTGGACTCGAAGTCTTGCGGATGGGAGTCGCGAGACGCCATGGTCCTGCGCCCGAATTGGGTTCGATATTCTTGAATCAGAGTGTACTTGTATGCTTCATATGTGCTGCATTTATCTGGTGAAATTGAGCGGGAATTGGTGAATGTTAAGATTTAGGCAGAATTTAACCCTTGCGGCTCTGACGTATATCTACCCGCTTTTTGCTGCTAGGTCCCGAGGTGGTAATGCTTGACTTTATGTTCCTTATGTTTTAAAGTTGATTTTTGTTCCTTTGGTTTATTTGTACATTTTACACTATCCCCGGTACTGATCATATTCCTCTGCTTCCCGTCTGCGCAAGTTTACCCGCTGGAGAACAATCTCATCATACACCTCTTCCACCTTCTTGCCACCCTTCAGCACCTCTTTCTCGTGTCGAAGTGCTTCCTCCTTGGTCATGCAAACCAGTTCATTGATGTTCATTGGGACGGTCTTTTGTCCCTCTTTCTCAAGGCTCAGATCCATATTCCATCCGTGAGCAGGAGTTTCCCAGGGAATGAGAGCAAGTCTGCTAGAGACGCCACTGATCGGACTTTTCCCCCGGTATACTTCCTCCACAACGAATGCAATATCGTCCTTGCTGAGGGGGATGCGAAGCCCCACGGTATCTTGACCGGTGACTTGTCTAATCATTCGTTCATACAAGCCTAGCATAGCACTCAAGATGGTATCGTAGAGCTTGTCGCGGCCCTTGGCGCCCATGTTGTAGTCAAGCGGATAGCCAGTAATAGTGCAGATAACGTGATTGGCTACTGTGTAACCAAATACTGCAGGCATGGTACCCAGTACTGGGAGGATGCGGGCCCGGAAGTCAGGAAGAACTCCAAGCTCACCAACTTGGCCCTTGGTGTATTCATCCTCAGGGAGAGGAAGTAGTGTAGCTTTGCCCGGGCCCGGTTTCTCTGTCGAGAACACGGCTGCAACGCCAGACGAAACACCAAGGAGCTTCAGTCTGCGGCGTGTACTGCGGGACAAAGGATCATCGGTGCTCAGCGAGATGTCGCCGACCACAATGCGAGTCGGGTCCGACTTGCATCCTGCGCCCGTCGACGAAATCACGGGCAAGGAGTTCGAGTGGCAGTAGTGTAGCAACTCTACCTTGGACGTAATGTTGTCGATACAATCCAACACGAAATCTGGTCGACGGCCCTCTCCGTCGTGTGTCAGAGACCACGGGCCGAGGAGATCCTCAGACGCGGCCTTTTCATAGAGCTCATTTCGACAATCGAAGATGACCCACGGTGCGATTTGTTCCAATCGCCTCCGAATACAATGGACCTTCGGTGTACCGACGTCAGCCAATGTTGCAAGGGCGTGTCGGTTCAACGATGATAGTGTGACTTGATCGAAATCGATGAGCCGGATTTTGGACACGCCTGATCTGGCCAGGGAGGCAGCGGCATGCGAACCGACACCACCACAGCCGACAACGACAACGAATGACGATCGAAGCTTAGCAAGGCCTTCGTCGCCGAGGAACACACGGTTGCGGGCGAGTTGTTCAAGAATCAAGTCTACCAAAGCGAGACAGGCTGAATGAGATAGGTTCACAAAAGCAAGTCATAGAAAGGTCACATACCATCATCGTAGTCTCCTTGTTGCGCTCTGCGAGCCAAAGCTGCACTGCGCTCATCTTCCTTGCTCAGCTGTACTCCATTCGAGGCAGCGCCAAAATCGGTGAGCTATAGTCCGGCGAATCAGTTTTTTTTGGTCCTGTAGCTAGCTGGGCACTGAATGCGCAGCTTCACCGGTGCAACTCACCACTTCTGCGCGATGCAAATCATCTATACTTGGGATCGAGGCCTTCAGGTCATGAACAGCTTCCTTGCGCTTGTATGACTGGTACCCTAAGATAGCACCTGCGACAGCTGCGCCAGATACAACAGCCGCCGTCGCAAGCTGTCCGTGGGACGAACCAGCCTGACGGTGGAGCCAAGAAGACATGGTTGCAATCACACCCTTATCTTCCGTATTCTGGGTGTCTCTCGGTTTGCTTTTATCTTCGTGGGAGGTATTTCGATCAAATTCGTTATATCTGGTATCCAGTTCGTCAGAATCGAATCCGTAGTCGAGGTCTGTATCGTTGGGCTCTTGCCACCATTTGGATGCTGGTGGAGCCATTATGGATGTGGGATGTACTGACCATCACAAGTAGCCGACCGGTGCAGGCATGGACTTCTTTTAACGGAATGTACATGCAAGCCAATGCGTTCATCAGTGGAACCACGCTGGCTATCACGTGCCGCTGTTCTGGGTAATTGTGCGGGGACTAACAAAGCGGTAGGATAGGCGGTAGACGTGCTCACTACGCGCCGCCGCACCACCGCGTCCACCAAGTGTTCTGACACACGCATGGGATGCTCAGAAATCCTACAATTCGATTTCTCAGTCAATTACCCCCTAACAGTGTCATATATGCTCTTGCATCATCTCATCCGATAGAAAGTTGTTGTTGACAGACCGATGCAGCTATCAGTCTCGATGTCACACTGCAGAGCCTGTCCGAGAAAGTCGCGTCTGAGCATAGCTTGATGTTGATTCCGATAATACTTTGCCGGTCAATGCCAACAACCACCTCTTATCGCTTGAGAAGATGCAACAGCGACGAGCTCATTGCGCTTACTTCTTCAATATCCATTACGAAAGGTACGTTTTTTTTTCACACTGGTTCTCTGGTCTCTGGCTACAATGCAGATTCAATGGAATATCGTGTGCCAAGTCCTGATGACGATAAACCTCACAAGAGCTTCTCATGACATGTCGGGTGAAAGAACCCGTCGGGCCATGGACTTCATCCCCCTGATACCTCGGAGTGGAAGAAGACATCGGCCCACAAGTGTGTGATTGAACAATGAACAGAGATCTGAAGAGACTCGGACCTTTGATATTTCTTGCTATGTGTTGTCTTGGCATCGCATCAATCTTTGAATATGTTCCACTAACATCGCTCAGAATTGCTGTACATATTCTAGATCTCCAAAATCTCACATCGCCTTCGGTTTTCTTCGCCAATCACCCTGTTCCTTTCCTAGTACTATATTCATCATGAGGTGCTCCAGATCCCCTCATATGATAGCCCAGTGATGAGAAAATGCGGTTACATACTCCGAGGCCCTGTATATGTGCTTCGTCTGTACGCCTTTCGAGGAAACGACAAGCACGCCGGTGACGAGTGACAAAACATGGTAGTTTTCAATCTGAGGGCATATTTCATTACCAATCTGTGGTTGGGATCTTGAGGCTTCTTCCCCGAATCAATGCATAGCTTGTTTTATTCGGCCCGTTTCTGGTTTCTAATAGCTCTTGGCCTTTGATGTCATATATCTATAATACAAATTGTCCCATCTCTTCAACTAGCGTTTATTTGTTCTTGTACAAACTCCATGGAGACAAGCACGATTTGGTTATTACACCTTGGCAAAGCTGATAGAACCTTGTAGCTAACCTAAAAGCATATCATAAACATCTCCCAAGCCTTGCTGATCCAGCGAGGTTATCCAGATCACAGGTTTATGCTCGGCTCAACTATATCCGTCGAAGCGTCGCTTGGTGCCTCATTCTTGAGGTTCAGCATCTCCCAATTAATATTAGGCCCCTTGAACTCGTCATCTATCAAACCCCAGAAGACAAGAATGCTAAGAAACAATCCCACCAAAACGGGTGCCTATAGTTCATTGAGCCCAGGGTAACTGGAAGACTAGGCGAGAAACAGATCGTAACACCCAAGGCTGTAATCCACAGCGGCGCAAAAACATTGCAAATATATCTCCATCGACCAAGATCGAGCGGCCACTTTGGGACACTGCGCACGACCTCGCGTAATGAGGATAGCCTGAGGAATGGTGTAACTCAAGTTCAATAGCGTAACTGCAGAGGTAATGATGGAGTTGAAAGCCGTGGTGCTGGCAAGATATATGAGACCATAAATAGCAGCAAAAACCCTAGAGGCTATATTCGTGCGAAGCGGGAATTGGAGCCGCTTGTCTATGTTATCGAAGAAATCTGGAAATGGAGTACCTCGGTCTCTGGCAAATGCCCATGCAAGACGCCCACAGGTGACCCACTGTGGAGGAAGACATGCTGCGTATATGATTGTCAAGAGTACCCTAAGTGCCAGTCACCCTTATTGATCCTGTTGCTTGGTATAATAGTTCCATGGCTGCCATTCCGGCGTTTATTACTCGGTCCATGTCTTTCATGGCAACTATCAAGACTGCTAATAGCGGTACGGCTGTACAGAGGCCAATGGCTACGGTCATGTTCCTATTTTTAGTTAGCGGGCATGGTAACAAAATCGGGCATTAGAGACAGAGGATGAGACGACTCTTGGCTGACATGATCTGTGGGAGTCGACGGCCCGGTGATTGCATTTCTTCGGCGATATGGATCGCTCCGTCGCTGGCCCCAAAGCAATACATCGAGTTCATAATTCCGAGAAACCAGGCGGTGCCATTGTTCCATCCACTTGTGCCCTGACCAGATCTGATGATATCCGACCTGGGATTTGTATGTTGGCGCATGACAAGAGCGGTTACAAACCAAATGGCGAATCCGGATAATGCGAGATATAGAGACCATGATGTGATGAATGGTAGTTTCTTGGGGCGTAAGAGAAGGGGTGTCACTATGCAAGATAATCCGAGTCAGCAATAAAAGATAAAACAACCTGACGGTCATGGTGCCTGACTTGTCACAATAATAGTAGCAAGATACACACAGTATTCATGCCATTGTTTGATCCCGAAGTCTGGACGTAGAAATCGACCGAGGCCCAGGGCCACACCAGCCACAAGAGACAAGCCAGAGCAAGTTATCATCCACCATCCGAGTATAGACATCCAGCCTGTCACAAAAGCAGCAAATCTCTTGTTCTTCTGGAGTGCAATTGCGTAGACAAAGTGGTATTGGCCCTATAACATGGTACCTGCAATTCAGCTCATATGTCTTAGTGAGCAAGCACACTATAGGTGGCATACTCCAGATGAAGGGAACGCCGAAGCTAGCTCAGATAGTCCTAGCGTTATGATCCACTGCACAAAGCAAGCAATGATAACAGAAAACAGAGCCACTTGGGACCCTCCATATCTGAGATTCTGTCCGAAGTTACTTAGTGCGCCGACCCAAGCATTCGTGATACTAGATATTTCAGCATAATAAGTGCAAAATGTAATCGGATGGCAACATACTTGAATGCAAAACCGAGGGATGCAATGATAGAGAATGATCGTTTGAATGCTGCTTCATGGCCTTGGGCGCGCAGAATATCATTATCGGATGCTGGGATGCTGTTTGTTTCTTGGGGCTGAGAACCAGCATTACTCTCATTCATGACTTCGTGATTTACGGGCTCACTATGGCTTTCCACTTGTTCCATTTTGGCTAGGGATATCCTCTCGTGTGACCGTTTTCCTCGGAGGGGGAGCATCGGCGCAATTTCGAATACCCGCGTCAATAGCGGGCGATTTCACAGTTTTATAACTCGGTTTAGTCAGTAAGGATTAAATCTTGTAGTTAAAATCCCCGCACTCTACAACCACATTATCTACCGTCGTGTTACTACCCCGTGCCTGTACCTTATCTCGAACCCCAGTACGAAGACCAAAGTTCATTCGATGCTCAAGAGTAAATTCTATTGGACAAATCTACTAAAAAATGCTCGAGTCAGCTGCAACATTCAATAGTTCCCACACCCACAGCACGATCATTGTTGCTCTTCAGGGTTCATGCTCGTTTCAATCCGACGAATGACTCGGGCGGGATTTCCTGCGACAAAGTGGAAGGGAGGAACGTCCTGCAAAAGTCAGTCTTGCTTCTCTCGATAGGGATGTTGAATCTTGATCTGCTGACCTTTGTCACCACTGAGCCAGCTCCAACCGTGCTCCCCTTTCCGATTCGCACGCCCGCCAACACGATCACACTACCACCAATCCATACATCGTCTTCGATATGCACTTCCTTCCCACCTTCCGGTCCCTTCAACCCTTGCCGAACAGCCGGATCCATGGGGTGGGTCGCACCATAGATGCAAACATTCGGACCAAACAGTACCCGTTCCCCGATGGTGACCAGGCAGGTGTCAAGCACGAGAAGATTGAAGTTGAGAAAGGTGCCTTTGCCGACCTTGAAATTCAGACCATGGTCCACAGAAATCGGACCATCGACGAAGGGATCGGTCTCTTCGAAAAGTGCCTCGTCTTCTTTCGGGTCTGGGTTCAATGGTGGCATTGGACGTGTGTCGCAGACAATACTGGAGGGAAGTATGGTTAGCACAAAGGTCACCTGGGCAATATCCAATGAGCACTCTGATCACATCGGTCGAGCTTACTTTCTCCACAGCTCTACTTTTCGACGCCTTGTTGCAGCCCCGGCGGCATTGAAATCATCGCAGGCTTGTTTACACCTTGTGCGGTTCGCCTGCAGATCCTCGTCCCATGCCCAGTATAGCTCGCCACGGAGCATCTTTTGCCATTCCTTTGACTGTGCCATGCTCACTGGAGGTATGAGGCACCGATGTACAACATAAAGAGATAATCCCAGAAAATTGTGGGAAACAGGCGTACTTCAATGCCTTTTATACACGGGTGGTGTGTGTGGAGAATAGTGGGGAACGAGGTCCACTTTAGCGGCGCTCTTTATGCCCGAATCGGGTAGTCCAGCCAGCAGGCACGGTGCTCCTCCGAGGTGATAAGTAAACGGTTGTTTCCAAGGTTTGCTGCATGCGCTAGGTAAGCAAGGCTGATTGTCCAGGTGGCACGATCGACAACGGGCTTTAAGACAAGAGACAGATCATCATGAAAAATGAACGGCGGCTCAGCGTGTTTGCTTTGCAAGGCATTGATATAAGGCATTATGCGTAGATTTTGGGATTACCGGGGATAATTTCATTGCAGCAGGACAGCGAATTGCTCTGCATAAAACCCCTTGCAGTCTACTCCTTGTGTAGCATCGCCGCGATTGACTGGAGATTTGAAAGAACCGTTAGCTCCCAAGCACCCCAGGGTCGAAGAAATGCATCTTCAAAGAACTTAGTAGAAACACAATCTTAAACAAGTTCCTGGGATGTCTTCCTAGTAACTGAACATCTGTCGTATAGAGAGACCGTGCAGTAGAAAAGGCAGGCATGAAAAATGTTATGCCTCAGGCAGCAAGCAGTATAGCACCGGAACGGAAGAACGCTTAATCCCCTAGACTTAAAAACAACATCTGTGCTCCTTGTCAGTTTTATATTCCCGACAAGGCCTTAACCAAGCCGAGCTTCACGTTTCCAGTCGTTGGGTACAAGGCTATGGCTACATGCTGTATCCAAGATGGTTCTAATGCTGAGTTCGTGGGGACAACAGCCAACGGCAATAATTGTTGTTTCATGGGGCTACCTACAACACCTGCTAATCCGAAGAGTTAACCGCATAGCCTCTAGCAAGCTTCAGATGATAGGCCGTTGCCCTCTTGAGAAATACCTTTGAGAAACCACCGTCCTATCACTGTGGTCAAATGGTAGATGTCAGATGCGGGTTGCTTGTTCCCCGTTGAAGACCCATTCATGATGTGACGCGCTGGGGCATGTCCACGTGTATATTCAAGGACAGTAGCATTGCCTGCAAATGAATACACGCACCTTCCATTTGTGGGCTCTGTGCCTGCTGCCACAATCCCAAAAATATAAATACCTGCCTCCCCTGTTTCTCTGCTTCCTTCTCTCCTTCTCCCCTCCTCACCTTTGACCACCTTCGAGCTCTGAGTGTAAGTGGACATCCATTTACCGACAATAATCATTCGGCTATCAATGATATTCTGGTGTTTCCTGGTTTGTCTTGTGAATCCTTGAAAGATCTTTCACCAAAGATCGCTTCCAAGCTTTGCTTTCAGTGTTTGTCTTATAGGCTCGTGGGCTATGTGGGCGTGCTCTTTCTACAAAATGTTCTAGGTTCTCCTAGTGTGAAATGAAACGTGGGGACCTTTTCATCAAATATCCTAGCTGTGTCCTCGGTCTTGATTTTACATTTGTTCTTTTCTGTTGTCTTGTGGGCGTGATGGCATTCTGAGATCGTGGGCTTTGTGGGCTGTGTCATTCTGTTCTTTTCTTCTTCTCGCCCTGTGATGAATTCGCCCTAGAGACGAATATAAGCCAATTCTGCAGGCATCTGCTTGACGACGGCTCCATTCATGGCACTTCGTGCCTGTGGACCGTGTATACAGCTGGAAGCCGGTTATGAAACCGAGAGCAACCTGAGGGCGGGTTTCCTTTTATTTTTACGGAACTTCACCATGTACATACAAAGTTCCTTGGTAGGATCAAATGGAATAACGCACTGTCATTTCTGTTCCTTTTTCATACCATACTTTGTAGACTGGCTGGACGCATCCATCGAACCCTTAGAACTGTAAATACAAAGAGAGAAGAGGTATCTCATTTCCATTTCGTAAATGTAAAACGCTTGCTAAATGCCAAAAGTCGCACGCTTAACGACCAATGTACAAATTTATATTATTTTCCGTCGCCTCGGACGCAACACGTCACGCAACTAGCGCAGGAACTTGCCCAATGCGCCACCGATGTTCTTGAGGTCTAACAAGAAAGTGTCATGACCGAACAGCGACAAGTCGTCACCAAGCTCGATATGCTCCACATTTTTGTTGCCTCCAGCACGGAGTGTTTCGGCAATCTCCCGCTGCTGCCACGCCGGGAAGAGGATGTCACTTGCAACGCCCATAACAAGCACAGAATGATTCTTGAGAGGCGCTAGGCCGGCAATAAGGTCCCGGGGAGGACCATCCACTGTGTCAGCAGAGACGGACTTGTCCAGCGGGGTCGCATTGGAGGTTGATCCAGGCTGCTCCTCATAAGGCTTGTCTGGAAGGGTCAGACTGCAAGCGGGGTCCGAGACATTCGGTGCGTCACCGCCGTGCGCAATGCGATCCTCGGACTCTGCGCGGCGTTTCAGAGTCGCAGTCTGATGGGCATGGCCGAGATCGAACAAGTCCATAGCCTTAGAAACATAAAGAAGACTGTTGGGATCGTACTCGAGACAGAACTTCTCACCGGCGTGGTCGAGGTATGTCTCGATAAGGAAGTCGGGACACAGAGCGGGCTGTTTGCTGGGGTCTGCACGCTGGCGACCAAATCGCATCTCCCACTCTGGCCCGCTGCGGTACGTCACGGTTGCAATCTCGCGCGCTAGCTTCATACCCGAGTGGGGCGGGATTCCGTCGTAGTAGAACCCACGGGCCCAGTTGGGGTCCATCATCAGCACCTGTCGCTGCGTGTGACGCATCGCGATACTGTAAGGGTGGCTGCGGGCACAACCGCTGATGCTGACAATCTTGTTGACCCGCTCTGGGAAGAGGACGCCCGCTGCAAGACTCTGCATGCCGCCCATGCTAGATCCGACAGAGGCAGCAAGTTTCTTGATTCCTAGGCCGTCAAGGAGCCGGAATTGAGCGCGCACCATGTCGTCCAAAGTCAGAATCGGGAAGCGGGTTGCGTACCGCTTTCCGTCGGACGGGTCGAGGGAAGACGGGCCTGTGCTGCCGTAACATCCTCCGAGAACATTAGTGCAAATAATGTGATATTTATTGGTGTCCAGTGGCAATCCGGGGCCAATGAACTTCTCCCACCATCCGGGCTTTGGGTTAGACGCTGTGCTATGAGCGTGACTTGAGGCGGACAAGCCGGTGTGCAAGAGGATGGCATTGCTTTTGTCGCCGTTCAATTGCCCCCATGTTTCGTAGGCAACATCAAATTCCGTGAGCACACCACCCCAGTCGAGCAGAAGTGGTTGTTCACAGTGGTATGATTCGTGTCGCCCGGTGGTGTATGAAGGTTCGGGGCCGGACTGCAGCGACCGAGCGGAGAGTTGCGCTGACTTCGCTTCTTGGGCGTCAAGGCAAGGGAAGGACATGGCTGGGTTGGAGGAGTCTCTCTCAGTTGACTCCGCGGTGGCCGATGCTGATTTTCGCGGCAACACGGTATGCAATGGGCGTGCGGTCTTCCATTGCGCCGGTAAAGTCCGATGCGGCCCCGCGGAGTTCACAAGGGAGTTGCCTTGTCGCCATGGCTGGGTTCGAATTGTGCGTGAAGCAGCTCGAGCAGCGCCTCGAAATGACTGCATTATAAAAGCGTAAGATCTGTAAGAGTCAGGAAAGAAAGCTTCCCAGATTGAAAGGTATCGGGGGAAGAATATGTGGATACCTCAGGCACCAAGCAGTCGCGTCATCACCGACATCGGTGATTGGCGGAGCGTTGAAAGTATACAACATACGGCGGATATTATTTGCAACTTTTATCGGACAAGCTAAGAACTCTATATATAGTGGGGGAATAGGAGTGATTTAAATTTCTGTGAGACACTAGAGGCATTGGACCTCTCTAACTATACACCCAAGTCATCCTGAAAATAAGCCGAATTGATCAGGCATAAGCAGTGAGAGACTAACTAGCAACATGGATCAATCATATTGCCTTGTAAGCAGTGGACGGACTAATGCTTTTGATCGAGTCAAGAATACCGATACCTGTTTCTGATACAGAACCCTGTCTTGTCTCGCCAATCATCCTAACAACCTTAGAAGCCAGCGCTTACTAGTTCATGGTTAGTTTATGCTTCTAAAGACTACAACAGAAAGCAAGTAGATTTAGTGTCCAAGAGCTTAAAAAATGGAAAGAAGTAGGAAGTTCACGAAATTTGGCTTTTGATAGATCAAAAAGGGTTGCTCACATCTAAGGTCCATAACGGATTCTCATAGCAACCGCTCGCTATGCGAGTATCAAATATATAGTGACTCCAAAAATGGGGAAATCCAAAACGCCCAGCGCTAGATGCAATGCAAGTCCAAAACATGAAAGAGATAAAAAACAGGTCATAGCAAATCTTCGCTGTTAAAATGTGTCGCAATCCGCCTGTTCCCAGTCCGGCTCACGAGTTTTCCCGTGGATTTCGTAGAATTCGACCCTTGGTCAACCACGAGCTTCGACATAACAATCGTATTGTTATTAGATCGAATATCAATAGCAGCAGACCACATACACCGGAATTTACCGCAATTGGCATGGAAAACAATCTTGCTCCCATCAGTCGAAACCGTCGCACCACCAGGCGCCTCGAGACCCCAATCACCAGTCTGCAGCAAAGGCCGATCAGCCCTGACATACGGACCCGTGAGGGATTTCGAGTGCGCGTATTTCACATTATATCCCAGTGAGACATAGCAATGCGAAGAGAAGAACAAATAGTATGTGCCATCCTCAGTGAGCAAGATATCAGGAGCCTCAACAAGGGGACCATCAGTATCGTCAATATCGAGAATTTTCACTGGCTCTCCGACGGGTGTGACGCCATCACGCTTCAACTCCTGCAGAAGAATCGGAACAGATACAACTGGCTTCTTACTGTTGTTGCAGTTGCCGCCGCGTCCAATGCTGTTTCCGTCGCCCTTGTAGACCACGTACAGCGTGCCGTCGGTGTCTTTGAACGGTGATGGGTCGATGGCACCGCCGTGTTTGTGGGGACAGGCGAGTGGCTTGTCTTCGGGGATGTAAGGGCCTAGTGGGCTAGTGCCATTTGATACGGCAACTCCCACGCAATGGTGGCTGCCGTAATTATTGGCTTCTCCTGAGTAATACATAACAAATTTGCCGTCGTCCTAAAATTATATATGTGAATATAAGAGACTGGATGAGAAGATGCTCATGAATCTACTTACCCGCTGGATCACATCCGGGGCCCAATGGTTGACATTCTTCTCCCAAGCGCCAAGAGTCGGCATCGCGTCATAACCCTCGTGAAGTGTCCAGTTGACAAAATCAGTCGATGTAGCAACAGGCACATGGATACTGCTGAGGTTCTTTTTCCTAGGGTTGGTTCCATAGGCATACCATGTGCCATTGTGTTGAATGAGGCCCGGGTCGGGGAAGTTGTGGAGGGCAAAGATAGGTCGGTTCTCCTCGAGGTGGTAGCTGTGGTCCTCATCTGGCTGAGGTAGTTTCCAGTAGTCATCGGTGTCTTTTGCAAAGCCGTAGATCTTTGTGAAATAGATGGGGAGGGCAATAACGAGTGCTGTCAAGGCCAGTCCGAAGAACCCCAGAACACAGAGCATCCTAATCTGGCGTCGTCCCCATGGTCGGGTAAAGAAGCGTTTCTTTCCTGCTGTGACTCCCGCTGCCGTTTCCAACGAAGATTGAGTCCTGCTGTCGTCTGAGATTTCACTAACTACGATGGTCTTGACATCAGAGGGAGCCACATATTTCTCAGGTACAACGGAGATCACAGTCGCCATTTTTTCTTCGTGATGCCAATAAAATAAAAACGGGCTGGCGCTGGAATGTCTTATGCAAAAATACACCGTTTGCTTGAATCAAGACTCTTGCTTAGTCGTGTGTGTGGTTGAGGCTCTAGGTAAGCGCAGGAAGATCGGGCTATTCCATAGTGAATGATTTTCCACTTCAGTGAGGGTTGAAATTGAGTACGGAGGTTAGTGGGAGACAATGAGGGAGAGAGAAAGAAAGAAAGAAAGATAAATGGGGAATCTACGGGGCTTCTTTATGCGGCAAGCATCCGAGAGGCGATAAATGGCCCAAATGATGTGAAACGGGGATAATAAGCCGAGACACAACTGATTGGCTAAAATTCAACCAAGGAATAATCAGAGTCAGACCCTTAACCTTACGAGACTACTCGCGCTAAGACAATCACACTAGGAGCCACGGGAATTGTACCATAAACCCTATTGTACGGAACTTGCAACGCCTCGCGATCTTGGAGGATTTGACTTTTCAAGCACGCCATCCGCGGTATTTGATATCGCTAGATCTTATTACCCTCATTGGCCTACTTTGAGACAGCCCCAGAGAGGCCAAAAGGCAAACACATATCTAACACCCAAGCTTTTGCGGGTGTCAATAAGCACAGGGTCAGTCCAATGAGAACGTCCCCGCAAAACCAACGAGTCGATGATCACTTCCCATTTGTAAATTAGTCCACATGGCAGTGTGGGGGCACCCACCAAACCAAAATTCAATGTTCCACGCCCGACGGCCTTGATTGGCTCAAATTTATATCTGACCTACTTTGTACTTTGTAAACGGCTCTGTCTAGGCAACACAGTTATTTCCTATCTAGTTTACCCGAATTGTGGGGAAATATTTCAGGCATGTGGGATTTATGATCAGAGGAAGAATGAAATAGTTATCAATGTCAGACCTGATACGGTTCATGGTTTTTCGGGGAAGAATTTGGGACCAATTGCTAGCCTCTGGCAGATTTTGCCAAGGTAATTTCATCTAGATCGAGACTTGCCTATATACGTATGTATGTAGGAAACGAGCTACTTTGAGATAAGAAAGCTCCCATGTGTGCCAAGCCTTGTGGGTGGCGCAGTCCCGAAACTACTAGTAGACTTGATGGTATTTTAGTTAAGTATTTTATGCATACTTCATCCAGTACTCGGTCTTAGCTCTTTTTTTTGACAGTGTATTAGCTTATAGATCATAGCATACTGTGCCCCTGTATTTAGCTCTAAGTCATCGCATCACTTCATTCATGTATCACGGTCATGATCTAAGTTTATTTTTCTGGCCTGTCTCGATTGTCCGATTGTCATGCTTCCTAGTTAGAAAAACCAGACTGCAAGATTGTGAGATTGTAAGGCCAGACTTGATAACCTTCCTCCTTCCCTTCTTCCTTCTCAATTGAATTGTTGAACCGGGTAGACTAGCCTGCTGTTCAACCCCGCACCTTCAATAGTAGCTAACTCTACTGCTTGATCCCCGACTGGAGTAGTGTGTCCTTGTTCCACTACCCCACCGTCCCATGCCAACACTACGCAACAATAATTGTACCGTAAAAACCCTATACCCTAGTAGCCAGAGAAATCTGCCAGATCCCGATACTCATCTAGTCCACGGAGGAAAACATATCAGCGGAAGACGACCGAGGAAAAGATAGATAAGAACGAGAGGCAACTTACATGTACTCTTTTTTCTACGATGCCCCTTATCTGCGGCCTAGATAGCTTATCAAGGTTCGGACAGTACCTAGGTATATAGCTAGCCTTAGGTTCGATACGGAACGTTAGTGGTCTAGATCTCTATCGCTTGTGAATTAATAGTACTACACCCAACCTATTAAGATAGGAGTGTAGGCGCGCCGGCGGCCAGGTAAGCTTTAGGAAGATAGCAAATAGGTATAATTAATGCCAGAATACTTATACTCTTCTATTATATAATTCATTATAACTCCCTAAGGTCACGAGCCTAGAACTGACCTATACCAGACATTTTTAGATTTCCGTAAATAGCTCTCCGACTTATTTCATTTGTTCAGATTAGTCTTCAGCACGACCCAGTAAAACCCAGACCCAACCCAGTACTGGGTCTGGGGCCCCAAATTGGGTTACAAACTAAACAAACACGCTAATTATGTATATAATTCTGCTGGTTTTGCAGGTTTATACCCGCCAAGACCCCTATTTATGTAAAAACTGGGTCGAACTGGGCCTAAACTGGGTTTTCTGGGGCCCCAGTCACTGGGTCTGGGTTGGGCCTGGGTTATGAGCTTTCGACCCAGACCCAGACTGGGTTGGGTTTTGGGTCGTGCGGAAGCCTAGTTCAGATCGCCCTACTATAAAGTCTAGCTCCAAAGCTCGTAAGGCTATTCCCTCGCCTGACCTCCGCCCCCGTCCCATACCGTGGCCGTATAAAGGTCGGTTCGTAATACCCCCGCTCCATTTTACTTCACTTTACTTCACTCCATTTCACTTCACTTCGTTTAGCTATCGAATTCAACTTTTTCTCCACTAGCCTCACTTACTCCACCTTATCTTATTTCACCTCATTTCACCTCACTCCCTTTTATTCTATTTTACTTTATCTCGCTTTACTTCGCTTTATTTCACTTTATTTCACTATACTTAGCGATCCTCTCTCTACTTTAGCCTTTATTCTTTAAAAGCTTTCAACTATCCAACCGGTCGAGTTGCAGACATGACCCTTTGGGACGACTTTGTTAAGGCTGTCCAAAACATCCCGGTAGCGGGCTCAGTGATCTCGACCCCTATCCGCTGCTTTATTTCGGTGCACGCTGACTACGCCTGCCCCGTTGGCCACCGAAATTGCAACTCCGTGGTGGGCGGGGACGCCTTCTTGCAAAGATACCGGTGTAACGAGCCCGGCTGTGGCCGAGTCTTCTTCTACGGCGACATTGCCATCAATGGCCATTATTCTGGCAATCCTTGACGGAGGGTAGAGCGGGAGGGCGCGGATCCGGAAAGTTGAAGGCATGTCCACCCTCATGCGACGCTCTGTCAAGGCTCAAACTAGGTGTCTCGCTCTCACAGCAGCACTTTCTTTTAAGTAATACTCAACTCAATAAATCCAACCAGCTTCAACATCATTCATGTTATTCCTGCTGTATTTTCTCCGTTATTTGAACACAGCACCTGGCTGGCTTGGTGGACCATGCTGGTTGTGCATTGCTTCGTGTCATATTCAAGGACATAATCTTTCCACCCTGAATTTGTTCCAGTCGAAATGCAATTCGTAGGCTGAGCGAACCTATTGTGGGGATCAAACCAATTTTATCTTGTGTCCTTTAGCCACCATCTGACCCCCAGGCATTGGAGTACAGTCAAACATTCCGTTTCGGTGGTATGTGAGGTTCATCATGGCAGTTGATTTCAGAGGTCGCAAATAGGGAAAGTGGAATTCCGGGCGTGGTGTCCTTTGATGATGGGGAGTTTGAAGTCGTCTACGGTGTATTATTGTGGTCAGATAGCCAACCTCGCAGACCAACCAGGGTGTAATTGCCGTAATCCTCGTTTAAGAATTTTCACAAAAGTTTTGTCCCGGAGCGACGAACGATTCATTTCTTACTCTTTTTTGGTCTTCTTTTTTGACTACTTTTCTTCTTTGGATGTGGATAATATCCTCGTCATCTTGGTATTTTCTTGTTTCTCCCCGAGGTGTGACTGGATCAACTGGGTCTGAAACATCGAACGTGCCAGGTGGGTGGTTCAGGGCGACCTCGGCTTGCAGTTTCAAAATAAGGAACCGGCGGTTAGGGAGGCATACATAACCAACACTCGCAATCTTCCGACACAACGTTCTCGGTTGAGATTGTGAATTTCGTAAATGGCCCCAATGATAGCAAGCATTTACAGCAAAGCGAGCACAGTCTTGTGCGAAAATTTGGCTATAGCGCTTCGCTGGCTTAAATGTGGGCAGCATTGGCAGCATTCAAGGGTGACCGTGACCCTCAGAGGACACATCATGCAATTTATCCCAGCAATTCCGACGATGGCAACCGTTCCGAGGATTCCAATGCGGATTATGATTCTCCGATGGATACCGAATCCGACGGTGGCAACAACGCTGCAATTGAGGCAAGACCGGCGCGAAAATAAAACCCAATCAAGATCCAGCATTCGTCCGCTCTGGGAAAATCCAAGTTGCTTCTAGCAGTCCACAGGCTTCAAGCTCTCACAGTGCATCTTCAACTGGTCACATTGACAATGCGGAACACCAACTCCGAGTTACGGTCGAAGAGGACACTCTGCGCCTTGTATCATGCGTCATTCGACATGTTCTGTATTTCGGGTCGCCTCAAGATCAGGAGGGATTGTCGCATGTTGTCAACTTTCGGGACGCCAAGCTACGAGCCATCAAATTTCTACCTACGTTCGGCTCAATGAATGCCACTGATGACGGAGGTCTTTGCCTACGCATCCAGAATGATCAAGGCGATTTTCGACTCCGACACAATCGCGTAGCAATTCTAGAAGCCAAGAGAAAATTCCAATGGCTTGAGGAGGGTAAACCGACCATTTCGGACGAATGTTTAGCCCAGATGACATGCGAGGCTCTGCTGGTTAGGCTTGTTGATTCCACATCCCCTGAGATTGTTATAGTCACCCATGCTACGCAGCATAATATTTGCTTTCTTCAATTTGAGATTAGCAATGAGTATATTGGGGGTTTTGGTTTGGACTCGCTAAGCTTATCCATTCCTGCGGTGGCCTCTCGCTGGTACGACCTTAGCAGTGAGTCCAATAGGGAACAGGTAGTCCTCAATCTATGTGCCATCATGCGTTTGGGAGGAGCGAGGAGGTGGTTTTCTTTTTATTTTGCTCTCACTTTGCTTTACATATCTACGGATAATATAGAATATGTATGACGTACTTAGGAGCCAAGAGCATGGTTCGCTGGAGAGATACATACATATTGCTGATGAGGATAAAGATCCAAGAAATATTTATATGTGTAGAGAAGGTATCAGCCAGCTGGCTTCTCACCGGCATCTCTAATAATATCCTTCACCTTTGCATTTCTCAAAGCATCTACTATTCTGATGCCTTTTGATCCGTATCCCTCTTTCATCCTCTAGCCGGCAATGCAAAAAGCGAAGACAAGACACACGGCAAGAGTCGAAATTGCGAAATACATATGTATTAACCTACATACATACTCTTTTATCAAAGGAATAAGTATTCTCGTAATGGTCTCAAAAACTGTTAGTAGTACATGGCCCATTCATACATAATTCTTTAGTACTTGTTCATCATCGATGTGGCCACGTTGCCAATAAAATTAAGTAGGCCCAATGTCCCTAGAGCTTGGCAGATCTGGTGTGCTTTTTGGTGAAAGGATAAGGATGGTGATGGCTCTACGATACAGGTTCTATAGGATATAAGCTTCGCTTCTATCAGAGCTTGCAGCGGATCGGCGTTAAACTATATCTACATATTAGACATGAGATCAAACAATTTAGGCTATGTATATTTTATAGTTTTATGCAGTTTATTATTCGGACCAAGAGTTTTTGATCTACGGAGTACATAGTACATTGTAAGAATTATTTATCTCGGGATGATCACCGATTCTGGATAGAGCAAGAAGCAACTCATGTGGGGGTGCTTTGACAAAGCCAAGTGATTTATGAATGTAGCAGGAAATAATCTAAATATATCCATGGATGTCATAAAACACAAAAGATAGAACAACGAACAAATCAAGAACGAAAAATATCAGAGGTCTCAGTTTAAGTTGCATTTCACCCAAGGCCACGTGAGCGGCTCCACTTAGCCTGCTTCCGGAATACGCAATCCTTTTATTCTACTTGACGTCGAACAAAACTGGCCAGAAAGGCAATAAATTACTCGCTGCCAGACAGCGTGGCCCTTTTTTCGATTCAATCTCTCCTTGCTGTTCTGTGGTACTAGTGACCGACAATTCTTACTGGGCGTTTTTTTACGCCTCCTATCCCGATTCTGCGTTGATCGTATCTCCGACCATCGAGGTCACATCCAAGACTTCCGCATATCGATATGTCACCCTCTCAATTTCTTTAGCCTAGGATTTGGAATCGCTCGACTGTCACACCCGCCGAACGAATCGCATACCAAAACTATTCACATTCCCCGAGCTTGCGGATCACGGAACACAAACGCACGGAGACCTTGATTCCTATCTTTCGGCCAATCTACAACGGTCGCAAGACCAGCGAACTATTTTCCGATTGCACCAGCTCGATCGCCTGTCATGATTACCCCGCGCAAGGTGTTGCTCGCTCTGCTCTGCGTGGTCACCTTTGTTCTCATCCTCCGCTCGTTCCGAGATCCTGAAGTTCCTGGGGCGCCTGGGTACAGACCGGTGAAGAAGATATCACAAGAAGAGGATGAAGCGATAGCAAATTTGGCACGGAAAACACCACCGCAAGGTCGTGCCCAATTGCCCCTCGGCGCATCACCGACAGCACCACTCCGCGAACGTCTCCGGTATCAATTCCCCTATGAAATCGAAAACAGATTCCCCGCGTACATCTGGCAAACATGGAAATACAGCCCGGGGTCGTTCTGGTTTGACGAAGACCTTCGCGGCCCGGAGGCCAGCTGGACGGAGATGCACCCCGGGTTCACGCATGAAGTCATCCCCGACGAGACACAGCAACACCTGATCAAGTATTTGTATGGATCAGTTCCTGAAGTATTCGAAGCATATGATTCGCTACCGCTTGGCGTCATGAAGGCGGATTTCTTCCGGTACTTGGTTCTTCTAGCACGCGGGGGAGTTTACAGCGATATCGACACATTGGCACTCAAGCCCGCGCACACGTGGCTCCCCGAGGAACTTGATCGATCAACTATCGGATTCATTGTTGGCATCGAGGCTGATCCTGACCGCGATGACTGGCAAGACTGGTATTCGCGCCGTCTTCAGTTCTGCCAGTGGACCCTTGTGTCTAAACCCGGGCACCCGATTCTTCGTGATATGGTGGCTTATATCACCGAGCATGCTCTGCGAATGAAAAAGGCAGGCATCCTCAAGGTTGGCAAGATGGATAAGACTATTATGGAGTTCACGGGGCCTGGAGCCTGGACGGATTCTATCTTCCGCTACTTCAACAACCCGGCATACTTCAATATCCAATCTGGTGATAAGAACATTACCTACGAAGACTTCAGCCACCAGACCACACACCGCAAGGTTGGGGATGTGGTTGTTCTTCCAATTACCAGCTTCAGCCCCGGTGTGCAGCAAATGGGTGCGGGGGATACGGATGATCCCATGGCTTTTGTGAAGCACAATTTCGGAGGTATGTCTTTATCTTTGACACGTTCATTTAGTCTCATGTGGACGTAGTATTAACATTCGATTCCAGGCACATGGAAGACAGACCCATCACTGTGAAAAATGGCCCAGGCTTATTCTATTCGATTCCAACACTGTACACTGTACACTGTATAGTATCAGAGACCTCTTGCAGGCCTTTGCTTGCAGTTCATTTCAATCTTTGCTCCGATTTCATCACCCACACCTCCCCTCTGGATCTCCCGATTGTCTCTGCTCCCGTCACAAAACCCTCAAATCTCCGGCATCGAAGTGTCACCATCGGTGCCTTGAATATGATTGAACCCAGGCGCAAGCTTTAAACCCGTTCCATGTTTCATGATACCTGTTCATATGATTCCCCCACTTTGTTTTTCATTGTTCTATAAACTGTTCTTTTACATTTTATTTGTTTGCTCGGTAAATAGGTTGCTACTAGCTATACTAGCTACTTATAGATTTCAATCTCATTGTTTTGATAGCCAAAAGGCAACTTTTCGAAAATTTCCCATTGCATATGAATGGAGATCTTGATCTATCATTTTCTCGCTGGATATCCATTATACGAACCTAGAGGACACATTACATACGACTATGTTGCAACAGTGTATGTGTAATTGGAGTACTCCGTACTCCAGAGGAAACACGTGTTTGGTATCGGATATATGTACTCGAATTCCTCAAACGTTCAAAAACCCCAATCTATAATACCAAAACCCAACGGCAAATCAAGGGACAGCGCCAGACTTAACTGTAAACTCCGAGGTCACATATACTTTTAAGTTCTCCGCTTCCGACAACATGTGTTCCTCGCTATCCCCATCATTGGTTTGAGCCCCGGATCGAATCTCAGTAACCTGTTGTCCCTCGGACTCATATATAGGCTCGAAATTGCTCTTTCCGCGCGCATGCCCCGTGCCCGTCCCCGTGCCTTGGCGAACAGAGCCAAGCGCGTAAGTACGCGAGGTCTCGCGGTTTCGGTATGAGTTGACGGTGGAAGCGAAGGACTTGAACAGAGGCCCGTACGTGGGAATGCAGGCGATGATAACCTATACATTTTTGGTTTGTTAGTTTCCTTGGACTTGAAGAATGGACTTGAAGAAACAGCAAAATCCAACTTACACCCAGGCTGATCTCCACGCAAGACCAGATCACGATGTTTTTGCTGTCGGTGAAGGTTTTCAAATCCCGGACGGTGAAGATGCGGATGATCTGGATCACGGTCACGAAGAAGCCGAGAGCAAACAGGCAGGCTAGAAGGGCTTTCTGTTTGAGGCGGAGCTGGAGTTTCCAAAGGACTGGCAGAGGTAGTGCTATGATTATCAGGTCTAACACGATGCTTATTCCTCCAAGGGCATAGTAGAATGGTAGGGTTTCGATGCAATGCCCCTCGAGAGAAACATCCCATTGTTTTGCGACCTGTTTGATGTTAGATAACCCGTTTTCCCCGATCAATGGGTAATGGAGAAGGAAAAGCTGACCGGTATGCAGGAGATTGATATGATAAAGGTGAAGATCAATTGGTTAACGACACACACGACAATGGCGGCAATTATGATATTGCGATATCGCTTGATAATCCCCGCAATACGCAAGTACGAGGCCAACAAGGCGACTTTGAAGCTGAGGACAGCGAGACAGTAGATCGGGCCACCGATGTATTGGACCTATGGATCAAAGTTAGCGTCCTCGAGTTCGAACAATGCTAGTCTTGCGATGCGCACCCTGCTAAAAGGAATAATATTTTCTTGTGGAAGATAGGCGGCGTTGAGTCCTTGGCCCCATCGTGTCTCTGGAA